CACCGCCATACGAGCCTCGTTAATGAGAACACAACTGCGCAAATGTTTCTTCGACGTTAAGTTGTCCGTAATTCGATCGTACTAAAGGACCTTCGTCTTACGGTAAGAAAAAAAATTGTACGCGGTCGGACAGTGGAATGACTCGTACAAAGAATCATGCACGAACGGAGCAAATCGTAGGAGAAGATCAATGCTTGTCAGACAGTTTGCTTCTATGGAATAAACGTGGTGAAACGACGGCGAAATTCAACGTTTTCGTATCCGATAGACGAAAAATGATGCGACGTAAAGGGAGCCAAGTTCTTGGAATAAAAAATTCAAGACTCATCGCGGAGCGCGATAATGGAAATTGGATTCGAGGGAGAGCGGGAAAATGGGTGGATTTTTACGTATTAGATTTCGTGACGGCTTATTCGGTAACGAGACGAGGGGTGAGAATTTGTTATTTTTTTTTAATGTACTGTTTAAAGAGACTTTCGTTTCGCAAGATTCGATCGATCGACGAAGCCTCCGGGGATCAGCTTCTTAAAAAGTAGGCCATGTTTACCGCGACTTTGATTAAGCGCCTGACACCTTATTGCCAGTAAAACTGCCCCGATATGTTTGTTCTGCGGTCTCGAGGCAAACTCATCCAAACGCCAATAATAGAGCATATAAGGGTGAATTAAAGAAGCGTTCGATATCCCGTCTCGGTAGATTTGCATGGGCAATGAGATCGTACGCGAACCCTGAGCGTTTCAGAAACAGAAACCACGCTGACAAATAGCAGGAGTTTGCCAGGGATGTTAAGGTAGCCACGCGAGCGTTGACGGACAGTTTTAGGCGAGCTCGTCGAGGCAATAAAAATCACCGAAGATTTTAAGAAGGTCGTAAGTTCGTTGTTACGGCGCTTAACAGTTGGTCGGATCTTTCGCCGGGGTGTCGAAGTAACCTAAATATAGTGAAGCTATTTCCGAATTCGGCGCGGCCGTAAAACGCGCGTCGGTCATCGAGGAAAAGGGAGGAAAAGGTAAGAAATGGGGAAAGGAGGAAACTGGAAGATAATTTAAGGAACGACAGCGAACGCACGCCGTTATTTATCGATGCCACATGCGCGCAGGTGTCCATGCCTGCCCGATGATCTATCCTCGAGCTTCCTCCGACCCGCAAGTGTTATTAATCGTCAAGAAACACGGGATACAATTTGTACACGTGTGGTTCGACCAAACAAGTACAATGTTTCTTGGACTCTGGTCACACACTTTGTTCGGTTACCCGGGAAAAATGAAATAAAGAGAGAGAGACAAAATCGTCGTTTTGTTTGGTAGAAAAGCGGTTCTAGAGATCGATCTCCTAAAATTCCTATCCACTCATTCACGGGAAATCCCTCTCGATGCCCTGATTCAATAATTGCGCGAGGGTTTTCGTCTGAAGGTAGCTATTATGAAAATTCAAAATCCTGCTTATGGTAAACCCAGCTTCGGTGGAGAGCGTTCCGAGAAGGAAGTCTGGGTTTAAATTGCGCTTTGTCGACAGTCGTTGGCAAAATACTAATCTTTATAGATCGTCGAGGGGTTTGAGGGCTTCCACAAAGGGGACGATACTAGGAAATTAGCCGAGACTCGTTTATTCGTGGAACAAGACATTTTAAAAAATGAATTTCGTAACGGTGGGCCAGATTCGAAATTTATTGAAATGTTTTCGAGGAGGTTGCCGACCCTCGGAGTGCGGGAACGCGAATTGCTCGAAGGCGAGAAAAGGAGGAACTCGAGGGAGTAAATTATACCGTGGCGTTGTGTCGGGCCTCGATGGCGAATCAATTTACACGACGAGCGGCAAGGATCCACCGGGAAACACTGTCCGCGCGTCCGAGTTAGGGTTGCTCCCGTCGTCTGCGTTGGTCTAGCCCCGTTCCCGACCCTAAACGCGGAAGGTCCTTGGAGAGGGCTGCGCCTCGAGAGTTGTATGGCTGCGCATATCGTATTCACGGTCTCTGTTTTCGGGAATTGTAACTCGATGTACGAATAGGGTTTCCAGGTGCAACGATCTCGTGCCTGCGCACCTAAAGCGCTGTTCCCTGTTTTCCTGCCCGTCGTCCCGCTCTTATCCTAAATGATTAGATTGATACCACGTGTCAGCACGATGGTCAAACTCGATACCAAAATATTCAACGATAATAGCTGGTAAAAACGGAGTATTGGATAATACATTTTTAATCGGCTGTTCCTTGTGATCGACACCCGTCCACGGTGTTAGTTAAATATTAAACTTGAAATTCTACGAAGTTTAATTAGCTGGAAGCCCGCTCCAGGAATCGTATAATTAAATCGAACGAAAGACAATAAATATCGCAGACGCGTTACAAAAAGCAGACGACACGATGTAACGAATCGATTTATCTTTTTTTCACTGCAATTTTTTGTTACAGATATTTCAAACTTATAATGAAAATTGTATCGCAACGATAATCGATAGTGCGATCTTTCGTTTACGATTTATAGTTTGCCACGATCGAAGGGCTGGATCTCCGATCCAGTTTACCGGTGGAAGTCGCGTACCGCGTAATGGCTGGATTAATAAATCCAGGGAAGGTGTGGGTTATAATTTTCCAGGTTCGTCGTCGATTCTTGACGTTTAACGGCCGACAGGGACGATAAAGCGGGATCACGGAAAGCGTTTAGGGTGGTTCGCGCGCGCGTCGTGAGTCTGGTTGGTCTTCGGGGCCGAATGCGTTCGATATCGCGAAATTAATAGTCCGTTGTTGTCTTTAGCCCCGTTTATAGGGGCTGGAAACGTCTCTTCTGGATCTCTAACGTTAACGGCTCGTCGATAATAACGGTTCGAGGGAGCACCGGGGAAAAAGGGACTCTCGCTAGAGTTCGTTTCTAAGCATCGTCGACTAATAATAGAAACGGCACGGTACTCGAGCCTCGCTAGTCGAATCTCGCGATCTTTCCAGCCCCGAGTCTGCTCGTAAATATGCAAATAACGCGGGGCGCTTAGCACGCGAAGAACTCCGTTCGCGTACACGGCAACCCATAACCGAGATCGTATTAACGTGCCTGGAGAGCCCGTGTATGGGGTACGCAACGCGTCGAGAGATACTTTCGATTTAACTCGACTTTCGCGTGACCGACGTCCCGCCGCTGCACGCTTTTCACCCCCGCCGACGACGACGGTCTCCGTTGCTCGCCAACCTCGCCCTATCCCTCGAAAAAATCCACCCGAAATATCTTCGTTCCCGGGAAGCCCTTTTCACCAAATACGCCCGTTCGCTCGTAAACTCGCTTAAATGCAGTCGAATCATCTGGGATGGCTCTCGACGACCGGAGCACCCTTATCTTCCTCTCCCTTTCGGGGTCTCTGTTCCCTACCCCGCGACTCGCAATAACCGCACGCGGGCGAAAATATCGATGTCTTCGGGCGCGCCTCGTCTGGGACAACGTATCCCTCCACGTTCGATTTCAAACGTTCGAGACGCGAGAACAAAACGGTGTCGACCGGTAAACGAAACTTCTCTTTTCAAAAGAGTAGTATTTATAGTCTGTCGTCACGTGTCAAGGTCTGTTTCAAGCTGTGTTTAAAAAGCTCGATGGTTAAGAACCGCCATAGTGTGCTCTGTCTTCCATAAAACTGTTGGCGCCATCGATCATGCTATTCTTATTAGCAAGTTACGCGCCATCCGCTTTGGGGGTTGAAACTAAGTTGGTCGGAATGTGCGCGATGACAGATGACTTTGAGGATACGTACCAATTTTTCTAAAATATTTAAAAAATCTAGAAAATATGTAAAGCCGTTCGAGGGAATAAGACGCGTCTTTTTAGCGCCCCAAGCTCGAAGCACCCCTTTAATACGCCGCGCGTAGAGATGTTTAAGCTAACCGGCGAAAACTACCCTCTGCACGCGAGCAAAATGTCGCGGGCAAGATCGAAATACGGAACGGCTGCACGCGATCGCGCGTTTTGGATCGATCGCGAGTTAACATTTCCCTGAAAGCATTTTTCCGTCGACGCATCGGTGTTGTAGCTGATCGAAACCCTCGACAGCGGTCCAAATCTCGTCGGGCGTATAATCCGCTCTGTAAATGGACGAACCGAGTTCGTGAAACAGCCGCGTGTAAAACCGTTCTCGCGATCTCTGCATAAATCGTCAACCGCCTTCTGAGTATCGATTAAACGTTCACCTTGACACAGGGTCGTTTCCACGAACCTGACCGTGCGTGAACCCGCGACGTTGAACTTTACACTTTAGACCGAGGCGAGACGACGTAAACGGTTTATTCCTGCGGATCGACCGAATCTTTTATTTTAAACTGGAGGACGTTTTCATTTTGAATAAATCAAAAATCGAAACTGGTATCCAGCTCATCCATTACTGGAGTACCAGAAAATGCGCAATCATTCTAGGGAAAAAACTGTTCTCGTTTATATCGTCGTTACGAGGCTCGTATACTGTATGCACCTGACATCGAGAACCGTAAAGTGCGATTCGTTCGAATGAAAAACGTGACCGGCGTAACAAACGGTCCTCCTTATCTTCCCGAAAAAGGCGTCTGTGGAGGCACCCGGTTATCTATTTCGCGAAAAGTTCCGCTCGCTTTAATCGATGTCGCGCGGCAGCGTCCTACGAAAACTTTTATCCGACATTTTCGTGACCGTCCTACGTGCTACATCACCGCGATTAAATTCGTGGAGCCGCATTATATTCGTTGTTAGCTGGGAGGTTCTTGCTTCCTGGGATTTTTGCATCAGCATAAAATTAAACGTCTGTTTGCGATTCCCCTATAACTACTTCTGCTCGATCCAAGTAAAATATTAGGTACGAGAAATACAAGCCACTTAATTTGTAAAAATATTAGGTATAAAGCTTTAAACGTGGGAAGCTCTGATCTAAGCATAAATTAGCAGGGTTGAGAAACGTTGTTTTAGGAGCGTTGTTTCGCGAGATACATTTCCATGGAAATTGCAGAGCAACACGCGTCGAAGATAGGCTTTAACCAGATGCACGTATGCTTGTTGCAGAATTGTACTTCCCACAGTCGGATCTGACCCTGAGGCTGCCATACTTGGCGCGGAACCATGAGAAATCATCCAACGTGAAACTGCTCGAGCTGAGGACGCTTCGAAACGACTCGATGGAATCGGAAAACGCGATCTATCGCGTCACCGTGCCACGCGAGGGGATCGTATCGATAGATCCGAAAACGAGAACTCTGTTGTTGCACGGTCCCCTGAAGGAAGGTAAGCTTTCGTCGGTTCTGTACCCTAGAACGGACCGTTATCGTACTTCGCTGGTTGCGTAGGCGGCCCCGGAAACGGCACGATCGTGATCCTGGCGAAGGAGGACGAGGCCAGCAACGAGGCTGTCCTGAAGATCGAAGTTCAGTCGATTCGCGTCGAGGGAAAGCAAATTAATTGCACGGAGTACGTTCAGGTAATTGCGCGAATTACGATCGTTGATAGAAATTCTTAACTTTCAGCAGTGACGTTCGCGTTAAAATCGTTTCGAGCTTCTTTAGAGACAATATGGTTTATACGGTGTGCTCTGTGGTGGATGATCTTCCGAGAAAAACATAAAAAAAATGAGAACACATAAAACTCTAACGCTAGTGGTTTTTCTCTGAAACTCTTGCGCGCTACTCGCGAGAGTAAAGATAAAAAATAAAGACCACCCGTTTTCTTCAACCGAGGGTCGATGGAGAATCATCCCTCGCAACTGGCCAAACTCAAATAAGCCGCTGAAGTTCTATAATTTGTATAAACAGTGTCCTTTTATACTACACCACATTTTCGAAGAAGATCGAAACGATTTGTTTCACTGGTTTCAGGATATGTGCTTCTGGAACTCGTCGAGATACAAGATCTACGAGAACCAACCGATCACGATGATCGGTAGCTTCGGGCCCGCGGCTTACGCGGACATTTGCCCCAAGTTTTACGTGACCGGGTACAAGCTGCTAAACGGTAAGCGTTAATTGGGAAGAAATTCCGAATATCCGAGTCCCGACGCTTTTCTTCCCGACGCGACGGCGAAGCTCGGCTCGCCGGAGTGAAAATTAATAATTCCGACGCCGCAGAACGGGCCGCGCGCATGTTATCCTATCCGCGGATCTCTGCAACGCATGATTAATTGACGACCTCGCTTGTCCGAGCGCGCGAACATATCGCTCGAAAATTTCCGCGAAATTTTCGTAGAAATTAGGCCAACCGTGGAAACGACCGGCCCATTGTTCGATGATAACATCAACTTTGCCTATAAAATACGTGAATGAAGGAATGAATTTCTAGGCACTGAGTATTTCCACGCGACGAACGACACGCTGTTCGCGAACGCTTCCCTGGACAGGGACGTGTTGGGTCCTCCGGGAGGACCAGGACCTCGCGTCAGCGTTCAGGTTCAGTGCATCGTGTGGGAGGAGACCACGGGTAAGCAGTACGCCCCGATAAAGGTCCTGGACGTGGAGATTCTGGATCAGGACGACAACGCGCCGATGGCCCAGGGAAACGATTCGATCGCCATTAATCTACGCGACTTCACCGCGGTGAGTAGAAGATGATCGCGTACGCGTTCGCGAATAGAATCGTACGGATCGATCCGCTCGCAACGGATAGACGAGATCGGACTTAATCAGCGGAGGGGCATTGTCCTCGCGATCGTTTCCGGCATTGTTTTGAATAGCGGACGTGAAAAGACGCGGAAACGGCGAAAGAATCTCCGAAGAACGGGTGAAAGGATCCGGGCGCGAGAAGGAAGAAAAAGCCTCCGGGGTCTGATCTTGATTAAGCCTCGGATCTCTTTTTCCTTCGGTCGTCTGTCTGTCTGTCTGTACAACCGGTCCCTTCCCTACGCAGCTTTTCACTCGTGTCTCGTCGCTCGCAGGTTTCGCGCGTTCGCCCTTTCCTCGCCGTTGATAAAAGGACGCCCGGTAACTCGCTAACGCGCTCTCGATGCCCCCGGGCCATTCGAATCGCGGCTCCCGAAACCGGTACAGTTGCAACCCCCACGCACGATATGGTTTTTGCGACCGATTTCGAGCTGGAACATCGATTCGCTGCCTTATGCGTGCACCAATTCGAATTGTCAGTAAAAAAATCACTGCTATGGCTATGAAATACACGTTGGACAACGTCCCAGAGGGCACAGTATCGAAGTTTTCAAAGTTCTGGAAACGCGAGAGTGTCTGGAGATCAACAGGCAAACTATTGCAAGATCGTTTTACCTCCCATAAAGAACGAAGGGGAATCGTTGGATGATACCCGGGATATTTTACAGGTCGTAACGTCGGAGGTTTGATAAAAGTAGCCAAAGTACTAAAGGAAGAAATGTATTTATCGATCCCGCGAAAGAATGCACTTCCACCCGCTCTAGGAATGCTCTTTTCCGTCTTGCAACCAAACGGCTAGAGTCCGTCGGGGATATTTAACAACACCGAAGAGACAAAAGAAGGCTGATAATTATAAATTGGCGACCTCGATCCGAGGGTCTCGACCCGATAGAGCTATTACGGGACGAACTCGGCCGAAAAGCGAAGCTTACGCAGAGAAAATTGCTTTTCAGCTTGCGCGACAAACCCCCTGAATTAACTGTCACGAATATGTTTTAATTGATCTTCTACGCGGCTCACCGCGGTCGATGGAACTCAAGTTCGCCATTAAATGCAACCTGCCGAGACACCGTCTTCGCAAATACTAATAAAGATTACAAGAATAATTAAATAACTCCTAAGTGGAGAGATGTCCAGGCTCGTTTGGCTGGCGGGAGCAATTTTCTTGGGAATGGTTCCCGATAACTGGCCGAGGAGGGAAATTTAATCCGTGGAAATTAAACTACAACGTTCTAGGAAGCAAGTTTTGTCTCGCCTGAAAGAGTTCTAGAAGCTGAAACGGTTATCAATATACAATAAACAAGGTGAAACTCGCCGGAGGATTAAATTTCTTTCATCCTATCGACCTGGCCGAGCCACGGCCGAGAAAATTCCTCGTACAGCCTCGCTTGGAGATCTACCTACTTGTTAATTATATTTGCAAGCTTTATTAGTATTTACAACCGTCGGCTATACATTCTGGTCCTCTTAAAAATTTAAAGAGGACGATCGTTGCACGATATTAACTATAATATCAGTTTCTAACCATCTTCGCTCGCTGGAGGTTCCAGTAGAAACATAAGTCGACGTAGGAGCATATTGACGCTAGTCGTCCGAGTGTTAACGGATTACGTTCCACCCTAATCCTAAGCGCCCACGATTAGTATTAACGCGGCCTTCGGCAGATGGGGCATTTACCAGGCAATACGTAATTCGGTCCTCTCGACGGACCTTGATCGGACACGTGCAAAAACGCTTCGAAACTTGGACGAATAAAAGAGGATCATAAAGGTTCTCGACGGGGAAGGAAAGCTCGCAGACGAATCGATCGGCGAACTTAGCGTATTCCTTGAACTAGCAGTTAGGAATAATTGCATTTCTGCCGCTGACGCGAACCGAGCAATATGGACTACATATTTGCATAAATGTTCCAACGAGAACTGTAAGGCACTCCTGCTCGTGAATCAAATTCAGATCCCGGTGCTTGTTTCGAAGATAATTCCCGCGATTTTTCTTACGACTAGGATAGCTAGAGCTTCTAGCATTTCCACCGCAATTGATTTTTAACGATCCATGAATATTCTACCTCGCCGATCTAGCGTAACCCCTTAATTCGTCGAGCACCGTTGCCCTTTCCGCGATATTCGATCGTAGGCTATTGTTGGGAAGTTCGTAGAAATTGTTTTAAACGCGGTCAAGAGTTACACGTGGGCGAGTCAGTGTTGGTGAGAGGTTTCGTTCGACAGGGCGACAAGCTGGTGGACGACAACATGTTGATCCTGCAGGACGCGGACACGGTGAGCAGTAATCGTTACGTGGTACGCATAATCGGGGACTCGCACGACGCCCTGAACGTCACCTACAATACTCTGCCGATCGACATCGGAGTCCCATACACGGCCATTTTTACGAGTAAGTCGCTTTTATTTGCTTAACGTCGACCAGCCAAAGACTTGCTAAATTTCTCGAGCGAAAATTAGACACGCGAGAACGTTGGGGGTATCATTACGCGGAAACGTAAAATTGGACACCGCGATGGGCACGCGAGATAAGAGCTTGAACAAAGAATCACGCATACGTGAGAGCGGTCGATAGCCATTAGTTGGCGGAGTCACATGTGCGCGACAATAGCAGCCGACAGAATGATAAAACGTTTTGTCTCCTGTGAATCTCTGCGGTTAAAACTATTCGTCCCCGTCCTGTTACAGGGATCTCCGCGAAAACCACTCTGCTGCCAAAGTCGCCTTATCGAGTGACGGTTCAGGTGAAGGACGTGTCTCTTCTCCCGGGCTACGGCGAGAACACGGTGAGTAAGGATACCCGTTATCTGTACGATCGTTCCCCTAAATGCCGCGTAACCGACGAGACTGCGAAACAATGATAGCCCCCGCGATTGTAAAACGTCGTGGACGGGCTAGCTGCGTAACGAACGATAGGAAGAACGACTCGCTGGGGGCAGATAACGCGCAAAAGAACGTCAGGTGGTTTCGACCGATCGACCATTGCCAAAAGCAACTCGGGAGATGAGAGTCATCGACGGAACCTGGAAGCCTCGACGAATCAATTACGAGTTTCCCTGGTCTCTTTTTCCCCTCGTTTCTGCTTTCAAAGAAAATCTCTCGAAGCGATGCGTCCGTTCCGCCGTAACCCTCCTCGAAAAGCCGAGCCACCCTCGATCCTCTCGCCACCCCCCGCGCGTGCCCCCCTCTCGAGCATCCACAAACGTTTCCCTGCCGATGGAAATATCGTTTCGAGTGCGCGGCGTCAAGTCGGTCGACCAGTCCGACCGGAACTCGACGAAATAATCCCAATAACGAAGAGGAGGCAATTAAACGCACCTTGCGCCGTTTGTTCGTCCGTATCCGTCGGCATAATCGCGGCTCGTTAAACAATTAGACAACGAGAGCTGCGGAGTCGGGTGGGCGAGGCGCGGTTTCAACCCCGGATTCCACGGACCCGGGTTAAACGGGAATTAATGGGATCGTTTCGCGCGAAAATCGCCCGATGGTCGTCGCGTGGGCGGAACCATCTTATTATCTCGTCGAACGAACTTCCGGCTCGAATATTTCCCTTCGCGCCCCCGAAAATTTTTTACCCTTTCGATCCTATTGTTCGCGTCCGTGGGGGTCGTCGATGCTACGGGGATTGATTGATAACTCGCGACGACAAGAACGCGTAGACTTTCGGTTAGCTTTGCAGCTTCGTTGCATAACGTCGTTTATCACGAGCTCGACTTCCGTGGACCAAGCAACGATCTTTGATAGAATTCTCAACGTTGAAAAGTTACCTCCGCACAATGAATTTACGATATTAACTGCTGAATTATTCAAATTTGAACTTTTATCGAGCCCCGTTAACGTCGACAATATTTTTCCAACACGTTCAGTAGAACGTGCTTAATCGTGCCAGACCCATGGGAGCTCGAGAGACCTCTCAAGTCGGGCTGAATTTTAATTGCTTCCGTTTCTTTGTTTAATTATTTTAATATTTATAATTTCTCGTCGAAGACGGTCCAATGTCTGGATCGAAGCTTCGTACGATCGATGTTTACGAAAGTACGGTCACGCGAATGGGTTAAAAAGGGGTTCGTGTCGTTAGTTGAACATCACGTTGACCTTCCACGGGCCGGAACACCGAACATCGACGTCGACGACGACGGTGTCGTCGGTATCGAGCAGACAGCAATTATCGTATCCTTCGAGCGTGAAAGTCGCTCGGCTGGCGTCTCGTTACTCGCGAGTCGCGAAACCGTCGAGCGAGCCGCACCCTTCTGTAAACTTCAGCATCCACGGCTCGAACGCATTCAACGTTACCCAGAAGGGGGGCATCGTCTACGTGGCCGACGAAAATCTGCTCAAGACGGAGCCACCGACGTTGCAGTAAGTCGCGCGAGCGATTTAAGGGGTCTTCTCGCTGGCGTTCCGAAAAATGCATCGTCTTGCAGAATTTTTTCCACGAAAATCGCGCGGCGGATCCTCCTAAAATTTTACACACAGCCTTGCGGATTACTTAACCGTAGGTCAGAATTTTTATGACTCGAAAATCTACGTACAACGATGTCTGTATATTTTTCAACGAGACGCGTACTTTTTTAAACTCTTTAGAGCAAGAAGACCTTTTAATCTCGCGACTGGGGAAGTTGACCGCGTTGTACGGACTTAACGATCGACCGATATTTCAGACTGAAGATCAAGTGGAGCGGTAGGGATCATTGGAAGAACATAAGGATCAACTTGACGACGGTGCAAGCCTCGAAGGACGACGGGTGCAATCACGTCGAGTTCGGACGATTGCATTCCTGCGCCATCGCGGAAACGCCGGAGGACTGCGAATCCAGCTGCGGTGTCGCCAGCGGACTTTTCAGGTATAACCCGTGCGTTCCCCCCTCCCCCCTATCCCCGTTCTATCCTGGCGAAACGTCTGCAACGCGAAAAATCCTCCTCTACGCTCCCGCGAGATTACTTTTCCACGACCAGCACGGAGTTTCGAAATTTCCCACCGGTTGTAATTCTTCCTTCGACGGCGAACGCCTCCTCGAAACCACCCACGCACTCTTTCCAACCTTTCGATTGCACGTTAACCCTAGAGCACCATACTTTGTTTTTAAGCACGTGAACGTTGCTCTGGGCCAAGCTTCGAGCACAGTTTATTCGAGTCAAAGTAATAAATTATTTCGAATCCTCCTCCTCGACCTCGCGTTTCAACCACCCACGCTCCAGCTTTTCGATTAAACGTTAACCTCGGGGCGCCGTACTTTGATTTTAACTACGTTAATATCTCTCTGGCAGATAGAAAAGTATTCCAAGATTGCCTGTTATTTCATTTCCCAACTCTTGAACGCGGTACGAGAAACGCTTCGATATTTCAGCAAGGGCAGTTTCGTTGGACGTTGCACGTGGAGGAGGAACAATCGTTCGAACAGTTCCTACCTGTCGGAGAACTATCCGACCTGTTCTCCCGATTTGAGTCACTGCCCGGACAATCGGTGCGACCAGCTCGAAGAACTGGACGCTCGCATTTGCCCTCAGGATTGCACCATCGAATGTAAGCGACAGGACTCGTTTCCAGAATATCGAATTTTGTGTTTAGTTAGAGTTCCATTGTATTTCAATTTGAGACGAGCCCTACGAAAAATTCCTGTCTCGCGTGTGTTTAAATCGCCCGCGAGGGAAACGTGTAACGAGACCACGAAGAAATCTGTACGTTTCAGCGTACACGCTGTTCGCTGAAATGAACGAAGGCGGACGTGGAATCAAGAGAGGTCTGGGAACCTGCGCCTGCACCGATCAGCTGCAATGCGCCTGCAACGTCCGTAGCTTTCCCGCGCGAAACGACAACAACGAGAAAAGCAATAAAGACGCGAGAGGCCATGAGTTACGAGACCGAGAAAACGAGGTCACGGCGCCTAATACTCAAAAAGGTTCGTCTATTATTTCACGATCTTAGTCCACCCATCTAAGCGAATTCTATTCGTTACTCGGTCAAATATAAATCAGAATTTGAAGGTTCGACAGGACTATCAAAGTTTAACAAAACAAAGACCCTATTGCTAAACTTGTTCCGTCGTTTTTTACAGCAGGTACCGGATCCTGCGGCCCTTTCTGCATGATAGGCCTGATCGGTGGTAGTTTCGTCGTGCTGATCGCGATCGTTCTCTACGTCGTCGTTTCGAGATTCAGGTGAGCATCCACTCGACGATCCGCGGCGAAACAAAATAAGAGAGATCGGAGTACCGAAACGTGACCAAAGGCGAAACGACTGTATCAACGATGTTTACAGCATATTACGCGGTGTTCGTGCGACAGCTGGAGAATCCCAGCTGCCCGAATCGGAGATAATTCTGGAACGTGTGACCCCTCGTACGTGCGAACGATCGAACTATCGAGAGGGCCCGCGAGCGATTCTCTAATATTTCGGTGACGCGCAACAGTAGATACGCTTATCAGGGTGCACTATCGATTTCTCTCGAGGCAGAGGTTCCTTTTGTCAGCGGCCGCGTCCGAGCGAGCAACCGGTGGTCTCCTTTCGTCGAACTCCTTTCGTCGTTTTCCATTCACGGCGCGAACGCGAACACGAGCGACCAGAAAAGTTGCGAAACGATCCGACACAACGATTCCCGGATCCCTCGAGCTTCCATCGGCCGCGTAAACGACGAGAAGCGTTTCAACAACGGGCGAAATTAAAAAAGTTTCCTCATCGTTTGCGCGCCGAGGCCGCTTTAAACTCCACTTTCGTAACAACCGTCCGGGGTTTACGCGAGCGAGCACTTTCGGTTGCAGAATGGCCGCGAAAGGAGCTCGTCGCGAGAGCAAACGGAGAGCAGCGAACGGAGACACGAACGGGGTTGCTATATTGCCCTCCGATTACATCGACCGGGGCGACGGGCTGCTGATCGGATTGGACACCTTCACCGCGGCAAATCGGCACTTACTCATCCCCAAGACCTACCCGGTGAGTAACGTTTCTTCGTGACATCTATTATTTGCTTGAAACTTCCTTTGCCTGAGCGACTTCCGATAATCGGTGCTACGAAACGTCTCTCGACGTCCTTACTTTAACACTAAACCCACGGGCGCTATATGTATACCCATTCCTACCATAACCGATCAAATGATCAGTCTCTTTTTTCCTCTTTTACGAAGCAACATAATTATCCTTCTCTCTTATGTTAAACAAGTTTTCAATTTTCATTGAATAGTAGATAAAACGAATTTTGTTTCCAGTCGATACCGTAGTTAATTCCGAAAAATGGCATAGTAATTATGCAAACACCCTGTATACAAATTTAAATTAATTTTCAATCAAATAAACAATTTACGATCCAGTTTTATCGTACACTAGTCGTACGATCAATAGGAAGTGTTGAAACTACTTTGGGTATGTAGCGTCAAAGTAAATGTCAAAATAAACATAGAAGACAGCATAAATTATAATAGTTGTTAGGCTCGCAGGATAGAGGATTAAATGCCCTTTAAAATGAGCGTTCGTACGACCCGATAGCTTTATTAGTTCCAGAGATATCGCGATTTTAATTTCAAGTCGATGCGGTGGCTAGTTACGGAGATACGAGGGTCCGAGGCGTTTGTTTACGTTCATTCAGATGAATGGACTCGCGCGCGCGACAATAGTAAACAGTGCGTAGTAAATTCTTAGAAATACTACGCGGAAGTAGGTCACGACAGTCACGACTCACGTGCGACAAGGAGGTCCAGCGTGACGCGTCAGACGAAGACAGAGATAGTCAAATTAAGAAAAATACCCTTTTACATAAATTACGATATCTCGAAAACGGAAAGTCCGATCGACAAAAACAAAAAACCATATTAAAGGGGAAGCCTTGCCGCTTCTAACGATACCTTAATAATTAATAAAACACTAGTAGTTTCGAAACTGCACGCGTCTAAAGTTTTAGTATTTTTAATGCGCGTTGATAGCCTTTTCTAAGACGGAGAGCGGAATTTTAAAAATGACCTATTACATAAATTACGATATCTCGAAAACGGAAAGTCCGATCGACAAAAACCAAAAACCATTTTAAAGGGGAAGCCTTACCGCTTTTAACAATGCCTTAATATTTAATAAAACCTTAGTGGTTTCGGAACTGCGCGCGTCTAAAGTTTAACTATTTTTAATACGCGTTAATAGCCTTTTCTAAACCATTCAATGAAAATTTTGCAAATTATTGCACGATAAATCGTTGCGTTTACGACCCCTAAATACTACGGATGCGCGACAAAAAAGACCAGCGCCTATATTCCCTGTTTTCGAGGCTGACCATTTCGTAAAACAATTAAGTGGTTCCAGGTTGGAGTTTATATCCTTTCTGTCGTCGACAAACGCGTAAGCTGGCAAGTAATTCAGAGCTTCCGACGTAAAAGCTGACAAAATGCACGCGATAATCTCGAATTTCGACTAAACTAACTCCAGGTGAAATTAACTCGCGACACGATCCCAAGTTTCCCAATTTCCTCTGGATACGGTTTTTGCGTGCACGTCCATTTAGTCGGTTAAGTGCCAACGATAGGACATGCTTATCGAGTCTCCTGCGAATCCGCAGTGCTATACAGAGAAGCAAAAACCTTGAGCGATACACGATCAACCGTCGCGCTATGTCCGCAGAGGTGAATTTTTATCGACGAAAAACGGAGAATAGAACGCGATACGACGTTTCTATGCTACTCGAGAAACGAGTATAGCGGTTTACGACTCGAAATACAAACTCCTTCACACCCACGGACGACAACCACCGACTCTTTGTACGAAACATAAAGCACCGAAATAGGTTCTTACCGAACAGGGTGTGAATTTTTAAATTACATTAATTTAAAAACTTTGTTGGGTACCTAACAGGTTCTATTCTATTCCTGTAACTCTCTATTTTTACGTACTTTAGATAATTTTAAAACTATATCGAAACGGAGTAAAATTACCCTGTCTAAGAAAATAGAACTCGTAAAAATAGCACTCCCGATATCCAAACGTGCCGTATTAATCCTGTCAGTCGCAAATTCGGAGTTTTCTAAAATATTGTGCAATCGATATGGAATACTTCCGGGGTGTAGGAGTTCCTAAATTCTATTGCATCGTGTTATCGAACTATGCACCGCGAAATGCAACACGGAATGCTGCTAACAATGGTTCGATGTTTTCGGGCAGCCGGATCCGAAATGGGAATTCCCGCGATCACGGTTGACCATCGAGCAAGTGCTGGGCGAAGGGGAATTCGGTCGTGTTTTGCGCGCCAAAGCAATCGACATCGATGGAACGACAGGTCCGACAACCGTGGCGGTTAAAACTCTCAAGGAACACGCCTGTGCATCGGAGCTCGCGGACTTGCTCTCGGAGTATCAGCTCCTGAAGGAGGCACAGCATCCGAACGTGATCAAGCTCCTGGGTGCTTGCACCACTCCGGGAGCCCCGGTCTACCTCATCATCGAGTTCGCGGAGTTTGGATCATTGCGGTGAGTCCATCGTAACGTTATTTGACGGCTCGAGTCGCGGGACAAATATGGAGACCGTCGAGACCAACGTCAACGAACCGTGGAATTTCGTATTGCGGGATTCCGTCGTGGTCGGGACAATAACCGGTGTCCGCGATGGGTTCTCGTAACATCGCGGTAATTAAATTCTTCGGGCATTTTGCGTTTTCACGGAACGCGGGAAAGAAACGCGCGACGGAATACCAACCGTAGGCGCGACGGAAGGAAAAATAGCGACTCGTTGGCGACGTCCCGCGATATTACGAGCACGGATGTGCACTATTTTCCAGAAATTACTTGAGACGCAGCCGACACTTGGAATCCGAGGGGAGATCCGGTGGTTGCGCCTCGTTGTCCAACCTGGCCGAGGAATCGCGGGACACGGACGCGACGTCCACGTATACCGTCACGTCTCGCGACATTCTCTCGTTCGCCTGGCAAATCAGCAAAGGAATGGCCTATCTCGCCGACATTAAGGTAACAATTCGAGTACGATCTAAACATCTTTTACTGACGATATCTCGTCGTCCAGTTGGTTCACAGAGATCTCGCGGCTAGAAACGTGCTACTAGCGACGGGAAAAGTCTGCAAGATCTCGGACTTTGGACTGACGCGCGACGTCTACGAGGACGACGCGTACCTCAAACGCAGCAAAGGACGAGGTGGGTGAATTCGTTCCTTATTTTCCATTCTATTTTATACAGACATACCTAGCTTCAACCCTGCAACTAAAACTTTGTCTAATATAATTTGTCGAACACGTTCCAAATGGTATATTGTCATAAAATCACCAGGGAAGAACTTAAAATTGTCGCTTATAAACGAGGAACAATTATGCCGCGTAAGGAAATTCTAGGAATATTTCGAATCGATTCGAAACCAGCTCCTCCAGGCGTCCAGATGCTCCCGCTCGTAACTCTCGAAGGATTTGCGTAAAAGAGTGAAATCCTCGTTCCCGAGTCCCCGTTTAATCCAAGATTTTACGATTCGTTCTTAGTACCCGTGAAATGGATGGCACCGGAATCCCTGGCCGATCACGTGTACACCAGCAAGTCGGATGTTTGGAGCTTTGGTGTCCTCCTGTGGGAGCTGGTCACTTTGGGAGCCTCTCCCTACCCTGGCGTCGACGTTCACAATCTCTACAATTTACTCAAAGCCGGGTACCGCATGGAGAGGCCGCCCAATTGCTCGCAACATTTGTAAGTCAACAGTCTGCCTATCTTTCAACTATCTATTCGCGTCCCTACGTAGAATTCCCTCAAAGATACGAACGATTTTGGTCTAAAAAGTAGTTCGATCGCAGGTACAAGTTGATGGTGTCGTGCTGGCACCAAGAACCCGGAATGAGGCCGTCTTTCAAAGAGCTGACCAGTCATTGGGAAAGAATGTTAGAGGATAGCGTCGAATACTTGGATCTAAATCCTAGAACCGTCCACAATCAGGCCTACTTCGCCTCCCTTCACGACCTGGACAGTCCAAACAGTGCGTATCCTACTTTCTCTCGTCGCCACCGCGCGAATCTTTACCCATTAACGAGCACGAATACTACTTTTAATAGATTCGAAATGTTTCGACGCGACAGGTTCCGGGAACGACGAGAACGACGCGGGTAAGAACAACTCGTTGCGAACCGACGTCGTCAACTATCTCGAGAAGCCGTCTTCCGACACGGTGACCAAGTGCGACAAGGTCGACAAGCTTCACACCCTCTGGCAAGAACCTGTAGCCTCCTTCCCCGAGGAATCCGTCAAGTTGTCATACGTGAACGATCGGTCGCCGAGCTTGCGCGCGAATCACTACGAAAGCCCGATTAAATTCAGAAACGCGAGCGTGACCAGCGACAGCGAGAACGACCTGGTCACGCCGACCAACGAACGGCCGCAATCCTACATCGACATGGAGGGCAAGAAGTCCGCGGAGTCCGAGGACCTTCTGGTATTCGCCAGTATAAACGGTACCAACGACAGAGACGAAGGTAACTGAGGAACCGACAAGGAAACCCGAGGATGAAAACTGACGAATTGTTCGCGGATCGCGAGCAACGGAGGCTACGAAACGAAAATCGGCGTTCCGCTCCTTTACGATACCGAAGGATTTAAAACGACGCGATACCCGTGGCAGGATAATAATCGATATCGCGTAACCAATACGAATAGTCGACGAAGAAGCCTATTTTTATGTATAAAGTATCGCGTCCTATATCGAACATATAGGAAATGTACTTATTATCTCGTCTACCTAGATGTATCCGAATCATTTCGATGCAAACTGCACACGCCTTTGTACTCTGATACTCTTTGCTGTCGAAACGCGCAACGGTAGAACGCGTACGAACCCCAACTTCGATCTTCCCTGCGCTTTATCGTTTACGAGTAGTTTAATTTATAAGAACGAAGATGTCGAACGTTTCCCACCCACCGATTGTTTTCCGAACAACGTAGCACGCATCTCTGTTAATTACTTCATCTTCCAACATTTTTTACGTCGAGGAATCGAAATTTCATCGAGAAACAAAGCGACAAGGATTAGAGGATTCGCCATAAATTATTAAATGTTTAAGCTTCCAATCGAGTAAAATGCACTTATACCGCGCACGTGCTTCCCGCTTTCGCGTACACGCCTAGAACAGCGTTTAAAGTGTTGGATGAACACGGAACTGAAGAACGAGATTCGATAACCGTCGACGCGTAGACTTAAATACGACTACCGATCGATGTAATCATATCCAAAGAAGACTGCGTTTCCATACCTCGTCGAACAAATACGTCCCTTTTGTATTTATGTATAAAGCAGAGCATTCCATTACATTAGTTAGTTATCGTTTACCGCGCAAATCTACACGTACAAGTTTCGTTTGTATCGTGTTCTATAATTCTTATTACTTTTCGAGAGTTGACTAGTTTTAGCGAAGACGCATACCGTGAACATAACTGTTATCGTGCCATCGTTATTTTCTTGTACCTAATATACATATATATATATATATATACACACATACACACACAGGAAATAAACTCATCAAAAGAAACGTTACAAAATTGGTGATTTCAACGAACAGACCAAAGGGGTTGCACAGTAACGAAAAGTTACCTCGTTTATTGAATCGGTACAAGTATAAGATATCCTACATCTTAAAAAACAACCTTAGGCAAGATAAATTTCTTCGTGGACGTCGGTAACAAAATAAAAGAAGAAAAAATACTGTAAAATATAAAATCACAAGTTTAAGTCGCGGACGCAAAAGTTGCCATTGCTCGACGGCGTGCTATAAACGAATGCCTCTCCGCCATCTCCGTTTTCCCCAAGCAAATTCAACTCGTCGATATTCGTTGCAAAAGCCTGGGGAATGGGACTACTTTCCAATACCGTCGACACGGAATTCCGCGTGTCTGGCATCGGGTCGTTTCCCGACGTTAACAGATTTTCTGCATTAAGAAACAAGACGTTGGACGAAAAGATCGACGATTAATTTCGAATCTACAAAACCACTGACCTGTCTCTCGTGTTCCTTTCATCGCGCTTCCATCCTCCTCGAGTATTTCCAATTTCGCTAATTTTACGCTATCTAAAAACTCCCTATCGCACGCGGAAACCCATCTCGAGCTTTGAATCTGATGGATTACCTTCACGAGCTTCGGCAGCTCTTTCGGCAAACAGAATCTCTTCAAATGCCTGGTCTCCTCGGGCACGTCGTTCGGTGTGCAATACGGCAACTGCACGATATAATACCTCTTCCCTTTCTGAAATTGATTCTCTTTGACTAGCTTTAAGAAATGATTATCGTTGTCCCTATAGATCAACGACACCGCAGGTTTTATAGGCGGCGGCGAAGTGGCAACGAGGACGACGTCTGCGCTTCGAAAAGCACCGTTGCACCAATCTTGGGTATCCTGTATGAATGGAAAGGTATGAGATTAAGATCCACACGACGATCGATAACGATTAATACAAATGATCGCGTCTCGTACTAACTTTCCTCGTACTATCCGTGACATCTATCATATCTATTACGGCAACGTTCGAATTTCTTAAATATTTAACTAACTCGTTCATCGCGTTGATGTGCGTCAGACGCGTGGGTGAATACACTAACAAACAATTAGGCTTTCGTCTCCCTTTCAATCCTCCTGCAAAAGATACTACATGCATGCGACGCCCAAATGTAAACACAACGGAAGAAAGCATCTCGAAATTTGTAACAACGCGACATTACCCTTCGTGTACAATTTGTAAAGGAGATAGAGCACGCACAGAATCGCCGGTGGTATCCACACGGTGCTGATAATCATAATTAGAAGACGGTGGGACGGTTTTTCTGCAAAGTATAAACCTCGTCGAATAATGCGATGTGCAAACAATTTTAAATGATTTTTCTTTGCTTACGTATAATGATAAAAGGTGTACTACTGTTTGCACATCCATTTTCCCCGCAATGTGGATGTATTGCGGAGACTTTAAAGTAGTACACACCGGTGTGCCCTGTGAAGTCGTACAAGATACTTTGTTCGCTCGTTGTGAACAATATATTTGAGTCTGTGTCATTGTTTATCAACCAAATTTTGTATTTTGTCACATTGTACGATTCCCGCATCGACTGAACGTGTAACGAGTGAAGAGGCGCGTGAGATATATTTATATATACAAATGGCGTGTAGTCTTTTATGCTTATGCCTTCTTCTGCAAAGGTATAAGTTTCATTGAAAGAAAAAAACGCTAAATTCTCTAGAACGAGTTTCCATTTGATACTGCCTCGAGCACTCACCGATAAATTTATGCGCAGGTACATTGAAAATATATTGTTTGCTATAATTATACGTTTTACCAATCACTAAATAATCAAATTGGTAAGGAGTGGATTCGTAAGAATCGTTAGAGAACGGGCATGAAACGTATAGTTCCTTTGGAGCAGGATGAGTTTCGTTCCCAAAAAGTTTTATACTTCTACAAGCTAACTGACTTTCATTCAGTAAGCTCCGATAACGTATATTTAATCCTATTTTATTATAAAGAATTGCATGTATTATCGAACCATTGCCGTGTATATATGGAAATTATTTCATTAAAAACTCTTACTGTCGAAATTTGCATCGGTAATGCTTAAATTAAATGCAGTGACTTTGGTTTGAGCTTCCTTGTATACATAAGTACGTAGGCTAAATTTGGCAGTGTCGTTGTTCAGTACTATAGCACTTGAGCTTTTCAAGTTAAGTTTAGCGCAATCTAACAAAATAAATAAGTTTATTACCTGTTATGATCCTTAGACTTTAGATACGACTGATTTATCGACGACACGCATTATTTAATAATAATTTTGTACCTCCATCCCTTTGTATTCTTGTGAGTACACACTGGAAACCAGGTACGGGTGTTAAGTTCGCCTGCAAAAAATCAGATCACAAATCGTTAAATTAGTGGCGTGAACTATAAATTTTATTCGCATTTACAAATACGATTCGAACAGAGATAAACAGAAAATTTAAGACAATTACCGAGGCCTGACAGTAATCTGGATAACAAAAAGAGGCTGTGACGCTTCTGCCGATGTAATAAAGAAGTATCGTCAGGTTGACAATGTTCCACATTTTAAGGTTAGAGTTACGAGTCAATAACAGCAACTGCACGTAGATTTTATCGACGCGAACATATTCGCGTGGCTTCGGACTTCGAAAAACGTTTTATAATTTCATTTGTCTACGACACAACACCACGGAGTCTACATTTTTCGATAAAAAAACCCTCAAAACGACTGAGAACAAACAAGCTTTGGACCACATTGGACGCTCGTCCAAGTATGCACGCAGGCGCACTCTACCGCGCAAAAACGTAATCTTGCACGTACAACCGTAATGATAAACGTTAATTTGTTTATAATAATTTATGGAATAATATACTTGATTTCACAACAACGTGCCTGACAAAGCATGGAAACAATTGTAAAATTCTCATGCGTACAAAGAACGCGTTATATGCAGTTACTTTACACACCAGTCGTATATTAAAATAACAGTAATTATAGAAGATAGACCAACGGGTAAATTTGTCTTTATTAAAACATATAAAAAGAAACAAGATATCTTAAGTACGATACAGCAGGAAATTATATAAGGGACGTTTCAGGTTTAGCGTTTGGATTGAAATGTTTTTTCAATCCTTCCCAGCATTTGTTATAATCGTTGTCGAGTTTATTGGAGAGCTTCATGGCCCACTCGGTGACCGCCATGCTGTAAGAAGTCTCAAACATGAAAGCCTGAGTTCCATCAGCGACGCGTTCCGGTTTAAGCTCGCTATTAGAAGCAGCTTCGAAACAACGCGCATCCGGTCCATGAGGCGTCATAATAGAATGCAACGACGCTCCGCCTGGATGGAAACTTTCCTCTTTAGCTTCGTACCGTCCCTTTATAAGACCCATGAACTCGCTCATACAATTTCCTGGGGGTCGAAATCACTCGTATGAACACGTGGATACGGATCGGTTACAGAATTGGGTATGATAAAAAGATGATCGCGTTTCTTCGTCCGTCCGGCCGACTTATCCCGCGAAGATCGAGACGTCTGGTCTCGAGCAAATTCGAAAAAACGAAGGAAAGAGAGAGAGAGACGACAGAATGGGACAGGACAAGGGTAAAAATGACACGTTTCTCAGGCAAAAGAAACTATCGTCGCGAGAAAAAGGAAAAGTCGATATCGTCAGAGAAAATTCCGAGTTTTCACCGGCCATCCCGCGATTAAACGGCTTTTAGAAGCGGTCAAGCATATCGAAGTGTGTCTAGAAGGGAAGCTCCGTGCAATTGACAACGAATCATCGTAGAAAGGCAAAAGGACAGGATGGGGCCGCGGCGTTATCTGCGTTTCAGCTGGAAAGCGAAAAAGCGAAAAGAAAAGGATGGAGGTGGGACGGGGCCCCCCGATCTCGGTTTCAATTATAGATCGCGGCACCGACATCGCTTTAAGCGGCGGACACTCTCGAAATTTCTCCGTCGACCGTTCGTTAAGTTCCCTCTTTTGCGTTTTGCTCGAGTAGAGGCGTCGTACGACGACTTTCTACTTACTGTGATAATAAGGAGGCCGGAAAGTGTGTTCCTGCACGGACCAGCGGGGTGGGAATATCACGAAATCGGCCGCCGCGGTCCCAGGCTTCCTCGAGGGGCAGGTCAGAACCGTAAAAATTGATGGATCCTGCCGGGGAAACGAAATCCTAACTTTCATCGATCGTCGATCACTTCAAACAAATATAGCGACTCTCGTGGACGCAGCGGGGAATCGAGAGGATACACAAAGAATCGAGTCTAAGAAGCTTTGTCACGTCCATTGTAATTTCATGTACGAGGGAAAGTCAAAACGTAAAAGGGACCTTTAAGTTTAATTGTTATTTTCAAAACGATCGAAGTTCTATCCAGATTTCTTTTCATCCTGGAAGAAACTTCTCGATCTCGTGCGTAACCAACTTTGCACCGCTCCGATGATCTGTTCATCGGACGTAAACTTCCTTTCTTTTCGCTATTCTTCAAACGGGAGAAAAAGATGGAAATCAGATATTGCTTCGACTTAAACGACTATCACCGTACTGCTGCTTCATCCTGCAAATAATCTCTGGTAGATTTCACCTCCACCGAGTGAAGAAAACGTATCGCTGCTTGCATTTATTCTTCGGCGCGGACAGCGGGGAGCATTACAAATGAAGTTCGCGTTGGTCTAACATCGAAGAAATCAGAGTTCCTAATCTCCTAATTGGCAAATAAAAATGTCCCTACTCGACTTTCCCTCGTAAATGGCTACAAAGAATACCATCGCTATATCTATTCGCTGATATAGCAACTGTTCGATGCGTTATACTTACGCAGTGATCGAAGGAAACCGAATTTATAGTCATAAATCTGGCGAGATCGTATTTATAAGGGACGTAATTTCCATGCCAAGCCACCACGTCGAACGGGTTGTGATCTTGCTCGGCGACGAAAAGCTTGCCGTGATACTTGCACACAATTTTATAATCGGTATCGCGGTCCTCGTAGTGCGCGACAGGTGTTTGAAAGTCCCGCGGGTTCGCCAAACCGTTTGCTCCTAATCAAAAATGATTAACAACGATATAATCTCGAGCTTTTTTTCATTCAACCACTGTATCGAACAGTGCATTGGTTTACCTATGGGTCCTAAGTCGGGTAGGCGAAAATGATCGTCGAATACCTCTAGAATGTACCCACGGGACGGTCCAAAAACCGTCACGTTGAATCGCATACCTTGCTGGACCACGCATATTTCGTTCGGTTCGCAACGAATCTTGCCAAATTCCGTGGTTATCATCAAAGGGCCTAGCTGAGGCACTGCAATTTCAAGCAGCAATACTTGGCAAGTGTTTATGCAGAGTCTTAGCCTATCAACCTAACGTGCAAAGCTAAAAGAGAGTACTATACATCTTGATACACCCTATAACTACCCTAATAGCTCGAACCACGTACCAACGAGGAAATCTCCGTCAGCGTTGTAAAAGGCCTTGTCCCTCATGGAAGCGTTGCAAAGATAAGTATGAATGGCTATGCCTTGCCGCGTACGGCAGTCGCCTGCGCCACAAATCGTGTGCAAACCGTCGACGAAATCCACTTCTGCAGCCTGTCTGCTCGGAACGTCGAACGGTTTCCATCTTAACTAAGAAAGATACGAAGTTAATCGCGGATCGTCGAACGAGATCGAGTCTCGTGGTACCTGATTGGGTGTGGTTTGGTCCCATTCGTAGATCAATCGCGAGGCGGCGTCGACGACCGGTACGAAGGACTTGTGGACGACCGACGGTCGAATTCGATAGAGCCACGAGCGTTTGTTCTGAGAACGCGGAGCTGTTGAACAACGAATGGCACTCTATCGGTTCTCGTTCGACTGTCTCTGAGAGTTAAACTATGTAAGTAGTTCTTTTCGATATAGTTGGTGGAACACGTATGTAAGTTAAGCGAGGCGCGAAGAAGGGTGCTCACACGTGGACGGAACACGAAGGAAACGAACAAGAATCTAAGGAACGAGGTCACTAGACTATGCATCGAGTTCGCTACCACGACGCTTACAACGACTATGTTACAGAAATTTATTCTATCGTTTCTTCGGGCAAGTTTAACTATACGCGGAGCGTACAACCCCCGTATGGCACTAATAGTCTTACTATTCGTTGGAAACTACTTTTTGCTACAATAAATAAAATATATTATTTTCGAAAGTGCGCGTACGATTTGAAATATTATTTTACCTAGCTCTTGGTACGATTTTAGAAACTTGTACAATTTAGAAAACCGGTTGTATACATTTTACGTTTTCACTGGATAATCGAAAGGCTTGTAATTAATTTATACTCGGTGGAAACTTTAATATGTCACGATAAGTGCCGTAATATTTATTTACGTACGCATTAGCGACAAATAGGAAATCTAAGATGAAACACATTAAGCGATACGGGTTTGTCAACTCTCCCTTGAAAGTTTACGAATTCGCATAACTCTGGAACATGCTGTACTCACCGGTAAACGCCGTGCCGGACAGCTGCTCGGCGTACAATCCGTAAGGACAGTTTTGAGGACTGTTCTGACCAACGGGGAGAGCGCCAGGACATCGTTCGTCCTCGCTCGAAAACTCACAGTCGAACCCGGTCAGATACTGAAACCAAAGAAAATCTTATTAAAGTTAATATCGTGGTATTTCGCGCTGGAAATCAATTTTGATCATCGCGAGCCGAGGATCCTTCTACCTTCAAATCGTCTTTCATCGCGTGATGTTCTCCTATGGCGAAATAAACGTTTCTTTTCGTGGCTACACCCTTTTATACCAAGCGACACCGGTCGACCTCACTCGATACGTAATATCTAAACGAGATTGTCGTTATGCAAAAGAAAAACATGTTTACGTTGTTTGCTACTGCCTCGACCAATCGCGTGCCCGCGCATACGAAGGCACGACTCATTAAAACGTTCGGTCAACACCCATCTCGTCCAGCAACCAGAAATTCCACACACTCTATGATAATTTATCGTCTTGCCTTAATTCCCGAGACGAGCCCCTCGATAGCACGTATCCTTCGACGATGGACGTTTTAAATATCGGAGATTTGCATTGCAGATAGCTCTTTGGATGGCGAACCTTCCTCGCGAAAGATCTAGGAAATTGTGAATTTCATTTATTTTCGAAAATAAATTTTCCACAGTCCACAGACGAATCTCGTTTAGTTCGCGCAAGGTCGAAACGAAGGAGGAAAATTTCCGAGGATTTCTTATCAAGGTGCGTCGATAGGAAAAAAACCTTGCATAATTCGAAAGTGATTCATCGATAGAAGTAAAAAAAAAAAAGAGCTCGTGCCGTAATAATCGTAAATCGCTCGTTACCGTAAACATGGTCGATCTTTTGCTTCGACCTCCTGAACCGAAACGCAAATATCATTGCGAAATCATCGTTTTGTAGACGCGATACGATTGTTCGCTGTTGTGACATCGACCGACACGATCCGTGAATAAACGACACATTGGCGATCGCGACGGGCAAATAACTCGGGACAAAGTTAAGAAAATTTCCTTAACGATCGAGAAGAATCGAGAACTAAGAGCGACAGTGATTTCTGCATGGTACTAGCAAAACGATTCGCACCTTTCGCTCGCGAAAACTGGTCCTTGGAAAAAAATGCAAACGGGTATGCTTCGATCGATTACGCGTGGAATATGTGACCGCGTGCCTGACGAAACCCGTTAATCCCAATTAATAAAGACCATTGATCAATGTAATTAATAAGAAAAATGAACGAAAACAAAAGCAAGCGTCATAAATCTTTGCACCTTTTTGTTTCAGAGTTTCGAACGCGGAACTAGTTATGTAATTTATCGGAGTCAGAGTTAATGTTCTAGGGGCACAGTCGTCTGACCGGTGAAGAATGTCGTTTAATTAATTTAAATTATTTACCTCGCATCTCTGCTGTGTTTTTAACAACTTATATAAGAAGTCTTCCGCTACTTGACTCAGTTTATACCAAGAGTAACTACTCGTTCTACATATGACAACGTGACTGTTAACACATGTAACACTGTCCTTAGATGTTAGACATCGCCAACACGAGCTAGCAACTAAAATTAGTAAAAGTATTACTCGCTGTTACTGGACGTCGTAATGAAAGTAAGACCCCTCGTATACGACTTCTACCTTTGCCAACATTAGTGTATCGACGATGTTGAACGTCCGAGGAGAGCTATGTTTGCCAGTATAACTTGACGTCGTAAACAAACTTGTCTCGCAAATCGTGTTAACAGACACGTTAACTGTGCGTGTTTTCCAATTACGCGTTAATTTACGTCTCGGTAACCATTTTAGATACCATTATGCTATATACTTTTCTATCTGAAATTCGATGCTCTGTCCAAACGCATGCAAGATGCTGATCGTTTCCAAATCGTTTCTCCTATCTAATACAGAAAACAAAGAACGATTAAAAACTTGGTCGTTTATTAATTTTGATTGCAAACGGCGACCACGATCGTAAGCAACGTTCCTCGAATAATTCCGTTAATCGTACGGAATCGAGGCCAAAGTTGAAACGGCATTCCCGCGATCGAAGGAACGCGGCGCGCTAGCTTATTCATCGTGGTTCGAGCGGACATTTCGTATCGAATTCTTCGCGAGGAGGACGAGCAGAACGGACACCGTCGTCGGGCGAAATGGAGTTAATTGCGCGTAATTGGCCGCGTTAAAAGAGTCGTTTGCGTTTCGATATGGCGCGGTAGCCTTAGCGACGAGCAACGAGGAACCACGGAGAAGGGAAACCCGAGGTGGGGGCCGTTTACAGTTAACCGAGGAGGTTGCGCGAGAAGAATCTTTCTCCGACGACAGAATAACCTTCCTCCTGCACCCTACTTCGAGAGAGAACTAACGGAAACCCGACGGCGTCGCGCACTTTTCCGCGATTGGGCCCATAATCTCGACCGGACCAAACACAATTTTTCGGCGGAAAAATCTTTTCATGGTGGCTGAGCACCATGATCGATACAAATTCTCTCTGACAGTACCTTATATTGTCACCTATTTGCTTAACTTTCACTGCAAGAAATTAGAGTTTCGATGTGTTTTGAGCCACCGTGTGTCGAATGAAATGGATCTGTTCGGAGAAAAGCGTTTGATAACGCGTTCCCGTGATTGGGCCCCGGCGATCAGAAACTTTCGATCCGGTTTGCCAGTTTCCGGTTAAAGCTCGACACGGATGCTCGTGGAATCGAGTCTAGCGCATTCAGCGGACCTCGGACGAACGCGCTAGAACGAGAATAACGAAAAATGGCGAACGGTGAGACCAGGAGGAGGAAGTGATCCATCTTTTAATATCGGGCACGTACGCGATCTGTTCAAAAACTAACGAGACTATAAAGATACCGCCTAACACGGTTAGACGCGTGCTAAATAAAAAACTAAGCGGCGAATATATTTTCATTGTCGTTTAGTTGTTCGCCTAGAAGACATATTTATCAGGCCATGAAAAGTTTGCAATTTTTTATGCGAGACATAAGAAACAGGATGAAAAAACAACAGCTAAGAAAACCTAAATTGGCTTCTAGTGTTTCATCGTTACTATACGTTCTCCATTTATTGAACCAGAACCATCGACATCCATATCTACGGCTCTGAAAGAAACAGCTAACGATGGAGAGGATTCTGACGAAGGTAATTAAGAGTTATTGCCCACGCTTAGGCGTCTAAATAAGTTGAAATTGGACTCGGACCAATTATATTAATTACGTTTCTGTGCTTTTTAGTTATATTCTTCTGGGTAGCTCGTTTTAGTTTACCGATACTGGTAGCGTTGAAACGGTTCCTTTTTCCTCTTCTCGGACTAGAATAACTGTGCCTCCTTTTTAAACGTGTTAATTTTATTGGTAAATATTTATGTTCTTTCAAATACTAATCGTGACTGTACGGCAAGCCAAGTGGTCGAAAACAAATACTGTAATCGACTAGAATAATTAAAAATAAAATGCTGTATCTACTACAAAGTAATATTATACGCGAAATATATAACAATTGGCAAACGATGGATCCAAGAGGCAGTCGAACGACGATATTTCGCTAAAACGTTGTATCTAGAGCGGTCACGGTGAACGTACGTGTTAAATATTCTCCGTGCCAGGTATAAGCTAAAAGATATTCGCTCGAACGTTAATAAATAGTAATAATAATGATGAAAAAATAGAGAAGAAGAGCGGTACGGTGAACGGTGCGGCAAGACGTGGCACGGAACGGCGTGGAACGGGCACGATTCGAAGATCGGTGGTAACTAGGTAGCCGACGAGGCCCGTAACCCCTTCCTCGGCGGCTCGACGGGGACCAGTTGGCCGGCTCTCGCTTAGAACAGGTGGGCCCGAGTCGAGAGAGTCTCGGTCTGCCGCTTACCGTGCACGGATCGAGTTTGTTGCCCGGACCGGTCTCCCGCATTCTCGCTTTCGGCCACGAAAAAGTACGATTCAACAGCCGAAATACTTACATGTAACCGCGTATAAAAGCCAGTCGGCGAACGGACCGTTAGACCGACTAACAGTCCTCCGGTTTACGTCCTGTCGCGCATGCTGTCGCCATCGACGTACACAGTGCGCGTTCGCGTAGAGATTTCCGTCAGATTCGCTAAATTTCGTCGAGTGTGTCCAAGGACAACGTGGATCCGGATGAGCCGTGTCCCATCCGAATGACCGGGACCGCGTCGAGATCTTATACCAGCGGTACAAACGAACGACGTCCCGGTTTTGCATGGGTGTGCACGTAAGTGAACCAGAACGAGCCTCGATCGTCACCCTTCGCGAATCGATAACGGTTTTCCACCGACGCCCCGGCGCACAGATTATTACGCGAGAAGAGGATAAAACCGGACGCTGCTCGCAATGGCGGAAGGAGGAGTGCATAATCGCGCGAGAGCGAGCGAGCTCGCGTTTTCCATCCGTCGCGTTCTGCGGAGATTTCGGTGAAAGGCGAGCGCCAAAGGATTTAGATTTAGATTTAGAACGGACAGTGCAACGACGGGACCGCGGCTGGGTTCGATCGGATTCCATCGCGCGAATCGCTGGCGAGTTTAGAGCCCGAGAGTTCCCTGGAACGTTTCCGTTCCATTTACAGTCGATCGCGTTGCGAGAAACGCGATAGAAATCGCGCGGTCCCGATGACCACGGTTTCCACGAAAAAACGATAATTGAGAATCGTAGGAATTCACCGAAATTCCATTACCGCGATCAGAGATTCGGTATCGTAGAATTCTTCCCTACGAAGATCGCAATCTTTATAAAAGTGGCATTTGTAAGCTTGTTTCGCGTTGAGAGAAAGTCATTGCGTGCGAGGGTAATTACTTTAACGAATACATTAGTTTGTTTTATACATCCTCCGCACGTTTCTTCCCCGTACTAAAAAGACAGAACTTTTTTTGCGTTTCATAGAAAGAGCAATATTATTGCCAGTTGGATCGAAGGCTTTTCCAGCAAGACCTGGAACAGTTTGTAATTAATAGGTCCCCAGCTAGAAGATAATTAGTTTCGATAGATTGTTCGAACGGTCGTTAATACCGTGTCTAAGTAGGATATGCTGGGTTTGATTACGCTGGTACGAGATGAAACGCTATAATATTGCTCAAACGCTCTAATAATGTATTCAAAATATTACTTGTTACGCAAACATGACAGTTATAATATACTTCTGTCAGGATTGTGTAAGCCTCTCGGAGATAAGTGGCCCAGGCATCTCTCGATCTTTGATATTCTCTCTTGTTGATAGTCGGTATCGAGAATAAGCTTTTTCACAGGAGTAAACGGAAGACCTTCGTGGTGAGAGGAGTTGCTTCATCGCTCGTTAGATTTATTCTCGTGTTTTTGTGTGAAAAAAAGAACACTTATTCTTAATACCGTGCTTGTTAGAGAGTCTTGATACCGAGTCTAGATATAGCAGTCAACCTGTTAAAGTTTGTCGTAATAAAATTAATAGTTTTCGTTCCAACTACTAAGATACCTTGCTTTTCTACAGAGGTATCAAGGTCGTTTTCCATTTTCTAAACGAAATGCTCAACATTTTATTCCACCGTTCGAAAGTGAATTAAATTCTACGTTAAAAAGTGTTTCAGTTCGTGTGATCTATAGCTAATATTTACTATGATATCAAGGAAGAAAGTAGCTAAATTGATCGTAAATAATTTAGCTTAAATGAAAACGAAATTGACCATATTTCCTTCTGCAACGAATCAAATACTTGTAGATTAGTTAAAGATCAAGTTTCTGCATGAATTTTTAATTGGAGCAACCAATTGGTTATTTGTCACAGTAAGCCGACGATAACGACGGTGAATGAAATTATTTAATCGTGTAATCGGACATATTTTGTAGGGAGAAAGCTTCTTCTAGGAATAGAGGTAAAAGATAAACGGACTGAGTCTTCCGGAAAAAAGGAAATAACCGTCTTGGTCGTAAAATTTGCATGTACGCGTTCTCTGGAAAGTTAATATCCTTCGCAGGCAAAAATGCATTACTGACAATGGCCATTCATTACGAAGATTAATTTCATATCGAGGTCTGGCGATAGTAAAATAATATTCCCTCGTTTAAGCCATCGTTCAAAAGTTTCCATCTTCGTTGGTATCTCGGTAAATGTTAATTATATGCCACGTGCATTGTAGCATCGTTTTACTGAGAATTCGGCTCCCCTATGATGTAATAAAAAGATAAGCGTTTTAATAAATGGAAGATGACCTCGACATCTTTGTAACGATACGAGGTAGCGAAAAAGCGATCCGCGTTTCACGTGTCCTCGTCACGATGCATTTGTTTGAAAACATTTCATACACAGTAATTGAATTAAGAGCTACTCAAGGTGGTACGTATGGATTCTTGGTTTTTAATTATGGTTTTCCAGACTTTGTAAGGGTAGTCTAGGATCGTTTTTTCTCTCCTCCTTCAATGATACTGTTCGTTGGCGTCTCGATCGGATCGTTGGAGATAAAAAGCAACCGTTTGCGAGCGGCAAGGCACAACAACGTCCGTTTTTCTACTCGCGCGTCACGCGAATTCGTCCATCGTCCTTCACCCGGTTATTCAGTCAGCATGTCGTTATCCGCACTATGGCGCGTGCAATGGAATACTACCGGGAAAGGTGGACGAACGAAAGGAGCCTGAGATTTTCTCGTTGCTATCGCGCCCGTTCCGACCGATCTTGTTCGTCGGATTAAAATACGCGCGCCACGGCGCCGCGCGGCGCAGCGCGTCGGGCGCAACGACCGTTTCTTCTCGAAACTGTCCGTGACGTTTGCGAGAAACACGATTTTCTCTGGTAAGAGGCGAGCAGGAACGTTTCGCTTCGGAATCGAAACGCATTTTCTCCGCGTACGCGAGCACACCGGCTCGAAGATGAACGACGACACGTGGAAACGAGGAATTTTCACGCGCGTTACCTTATTTCACGCGATTAGAACGCCGCCGGAGTCAGCTGCGAACGGGTCGCATTCCACGAACCTTTTGTTAGAGAAAATCGAGGAAAAGCGTATTTAATATCGGAAATAATAACGCATCTTCAGTTTTCTATACCCATTGTGCGCTTTTCGAATCGCGAATTGCTTCGAGAAAACCGCGTTCCGTAATTTGCGTGGCGAAACCGACTACCCGACGACACGAATTATTATCACCATGGGAACGCGGGTTTCGAAAGCCTAAATGTTTATTCTCAGCGTCGTCCATTACGAAATTTGGAAATTGCAGACACTGTTACGGGCTTACCCTTGTTACTCGCCTCCCGTATATGCCAGGCGAATCGCAGTTTCGATCGTACAGTCACGATTATGGTTTCGAGTGTAGCGCGAACGCGCCGAAACCGATTTTACTCGCGTTAAAAATAGTTGATACGAATAATGTATTCGATAGACTGTGGCAAACGAAGCCGTTAAATAAAATAAAATGAAATTACAGTGGGAATGAAAGGGTTAACGAGGCTGAAACGATATAGATCGTAGATCTTCGACGGCTATTAAAATCAAACATTGTAACGGCCAGCAGCCGTACACGTATAAGCGTAACCATCTTGCAATCGCGATTACGTTCGCCGTTTTATCGGCGCATTTATCTCGCCGATGGGGGCATAAAGATTAATTCCTTCTTCCTTGTAGAAAGTTGCCGCGTATTAAATCTACGCCCCGGTATCGGCCGTTCGCTCGATCCACCGTGTTCGATCGTGCCAAAAGTCTCTGGATGTTTTGCCTACTCGTCGACGTAATAGCTCTCGTTCCCTCCCCCCTCGAGCATGCAACAGGTCGTTGCACGAGGTCACAAAACACGCTGGTTCCATAACTAAACTCGAGTAAAAAAGTCCCTGCGCCGTCGTTCGATGGCTAAGATACGAAATGAAAGTGAAAAACGCGATGTTTCGCAGGAAACGAGCGAAGCGTATCGTGCCAATGTCACCGGCAGAATGGCCAGGGATCGTTCTGGTTCGGAATATTCGGAGAACATGAGCGACGCCACGACCTGCAGTTGCACGACAAATTCCATCGACAAGGCTAGTAAAACAAACGATTCGTTGCTTGGCGTGGGCACTATCGGTACTGGTTTTCAATCCTTCCACGCTTCCGGCGTAGTCTATCGAACGATCTTTAATTTTTGTTATGGTCACGGCACGGATTAAGGGGGAAATTGACGGCCTCGAGGAAACATTTCAAGGCCACCGAAATTCGCGAGACGGAGCCTATACAATTTTGTATAAATTTGTTTTATTCGGGGTTGCAAGGTTCGTTCGTTAATCCGTGCATGATGGCGTTAAGGATGAACGTTTTACGGGAGGAGAGATCGCGCGGCACCGTTTGAGATGTCGATCGATCCCGTATCGCGATTCTCGCGATCGATCGAAAGCAACGGGGGAACGGTAGCCGATGTTTGATTCGAGCTAGCGCGCGATCACTCTTCCGGAAGAGCGTGCCAGAGTTATGCGAGACGGCGGGAACGGTGGCGGCGGCAACAAGCGGCGGTGTCCGATAATGGTTGCCGGGGACTGTTGGTTTCAGTGCTCGTTGCGCGGCTGCGGCATGTTTCAAGAGCCGTTTTTCCTGCATCCGCCAGGTTCTCGGCCCCGCGATGGAATTTACATAAACCCGATGACCGCGTACATCGGCGAGTCGGCCAAGCCAAAGGACACGGAGTCCTTCTATCTTCACAGCCCCCACGATCTCGTCTACACCAGGATAACGCGACTGTTCTCGGACACCGGCAAGCACCGGCACTTCGAGAGGAAAGACGAGACTTTGACTGGTAAGTGGCACGTCCCACATTTATCGTCCCCGCTCTCGCGTTATAGTCGTCGCGCTTCAACCAATACGCCTGGCCACTTTTTAAACGACTCTATTCGAAAAGTCATTTCGAGCAACGCGTTATCTTTCTCTCGCGAAACACTTATTTTCTGACGTAACCTCGAGAATTGTCTTTGACGAAGATTCCGCGCGTGTTTATCGAATCTCATTACGTTGACCCAGGGTTACATCCCGGTAAAATTAGGGTTAATGTCCGTTTTCACGCGACGCGGGGTCGCGACTTTAAATTTCCGTGACATCGGTTTCCGCGTCGTCACGACAATTCAATCATAATCGTCGCGACGGATTCATTTAAATAATGAACTATCAACGATTAATCTACGGTAATTTAAACATCGACCATTCAAAGGACAATTCCAATGCATTTTAACGTTGACTTACTTGCCTTACGTAACAGTGTAATGGTTGAATAATCGACGAAGGATAGATGAAATGATTTGCAATAACCAGTCGCGAAGATTCCCCATACGATTTCAGCTTTCGACCAGAAGCCCAGACCAGGAAGTATTTTACGGTCAATTGTGCAACTATTTTTTTAACAAGTTTATTGAAAGACAAGTCGTTACGTTCATGAAAAAAAAGCAACGTACGAGTCGGTGTAACTATCGTTGCACCCTGTCGAGCTGACTCATCGCGTGATAAATCGTTGCGTCTGTGACCCTTGTGGCTCGAAGCTATTAGAGTGTCCCAGAAAATATTACGCGTTTCGAACCTTTAATTCGTAAAATTGCAACCGCGCGAACGAATAATTTGAAGCGCAGTTATCAATCACGAATAAATTCGCTCTCTCGTGTAATAGCTTTTCCTCGGTGCCTATTATCGATCACGGTCGCATTGTTGCTCGCTAATACACGAAATCATTTTAAACGGTCAGCCTGCTGTCATCCAATTGCAGTGAAAGTGGACGTGCACATCAACAATGGCGTTCTTGACCGACCGACCAGTGGAAACGGTTACGCGACTAAATCAGAGGCGGTTCGCGAGCCGTACGAGCACGCGTACGAGCAAATCTGTTTGAGACAGGATCCGGAAGCTGCCACTGCTGGACAGAAAAGGGTCCCCGACAACGCCTCCGACGGCAGGTATACTTGGTGGAACAACTATACCGATCCCTCGTAAATTATCGTCGAAAAATCGCGCTGAGGGAGAAAAAACGCTTGCCTCGACGCGACTACCGCTACGCTGGAAACGCGCCCCGTTATCGCGTCGCGAATCGCGAGCCATCAATCGAACCGGCAAACTTGAAAATTCCTTTTGCGAACGTAATCGCGATATTCACGGATGCTGAACACGACAGAGATCTAAAGATCGCGTCGTAAATAAATCGACGCTCGTTTGGAAAACGTGCACATTTTTGGTCCATGTTTGTTAAACTTACGAGTCGAGGACGATCGATTTCGAAACTCGTACGTTTCCGCTGATGCTCGATCAGCCGTTCCTCGAAAACGCTCGGCGACCTCGTTCTCTGTGGATCTCGTTCGCGAGGACAGAAATCGAAGTCCAGCGATGTCGAAAGCCAAACACGACTGGTTCCGTCTCGAAGGCTTCCGAAGCACTGGTAATTCTAATAGACAGACAGTCCTAAGTGGAAGTAGACAAGCTATCGCGACGCTAATGGTTCGACGTCGTTTCTAAACGCGAACAGAAGCAGCAATGGCTGGCCAGATTGAGCGAAGCGAGCAGACGGTAGCTGGTTAATTACACGCATGCTTAACACGTTGACTGCGTTTACCTGGAATCATGAATACAACTCGAACGACCAGAGAGACGATTATCGTAACAATAAGTACTCCGCTAACCATTCTACGTACTATGCATCGTTACCTTCGCGATGGAGATACATATTTTAGTTTTTTACTGCTTAGAAAGTTCGCGCCGGATGCTTCTCGAAATTATTAATTTCCAAATTGCTTACGAACGCGGTTCTGTTGGTCGAGGCAAGTCGAGTGGTAGACGCGTTGCGCAATTTTTATCACGGTCCTAAAGGCGCGATAAACGATCAAAGTCGGACCGATTTCAGTCGTTCCCAGAAAACCGATCGGAGATACAGCAGATCGAGCAGCGCCAGCGAGTCGTCGAATCTGAGCAGCGAGGTGCCGTGTTTCTCGTCGAGCGCTTCAACCCCGTCGCTCTCGAGGAACAGCAGCAACGAGCGGATCGGCAAGAACGCGAAGATCACCGCCGAATTCCCGCACGGTACGTGGCTCTTGGTCGACGAAATGAAAAAAAAGGAAATATTAACGAAAGCATCGCGATTGACTTTCAGAGAAAAAAGATTCGACCGGCTCTCAAGTAGAAAGCGAAAAGGAGATTAAACCGGCTAGCAGCGGAGCTAGGTAAGTAGGACGAACGATAATCGAGTAAAACGACGGAAAATCGATAAGAAGCGGTCGAACGTCGATCGATCGCGGTTCCATTTAACCATTTTGCCACGGCTAAACTAAGAAACGAGATTCGACGCGCGTGGTATTTACGGTTCGACCGAACGCTGCCGATTCTCTAACTCGTGGTCGGTCGAGGGTTCGATGGCTCGCGCGGACACAATTCCGTTCGTAACGGACCGACGCGTACGGATATTAGGTAAAAATCGAGCTTACGGTACTCTCTGTGTCCCTTCCTTCGCGCGTCTTTCGTAGTTTCGCGAAGCCGCCGCCGCCACCACCACCACCCCCACCGCCGGACAGGGAGGACGTTGTGGTGCTCCTGGTGAACGCCAAGCAGAACACGGAAACGACCGCGCGCGACGAGAAGAAGGACGCTCCTGGCGAGACCAATCGGGATGGAAGAACCGAGAACGGACCTACCCCATCTTCCGGTAAGCGTTCTCATTTGCCCTACGTGCTAACTTTGACTTATCTCATATCAAACGTGGCCAATATGAGCGTCTCCCGTAAACTATTAACCGTATGCCCACGAAACCATAACCGCCTCGCAACTTGGAGGTCTATCGTCAGATTTGGCCAAGGGTAGCATCGTTAGCGAGAATAGGTTGTCGCGAAGGACGGTACCGCGATTTAATCGGACGATCGACCGAATTAATGTAACTCGGCTCGCCTTAACAATTAAGCCGCCGGTGGATGGCGAAGACGGGCATAACTTACTAGACCATAGCGCTCATCGGGCATATAATACACTTACCTAGATTTCACTTGCCCGCCGTACAACGATTCCGTTCTCCCTACCGCCTCTGTTTCGGAACAGCGACCAACAAGTCCGACGTATCCTGCGGCGAGCATCAACAGCCGGAAGTACCTCCTGCCAGTCCGCCGACGGACACCGAGGAAATTAAGGCGAACCAAACGTCCCACCTGGTCAACAGGCACATGGTGCTGCCGTTCATACCGCCCAAGTTCGCCAACGCGGACTCGAACACTCTGCTCAAGCCGTCCGAGTACTTGAAGAGCATCTGCAAAGCATCGTCCAAGAACAGTCTCTCGAAAGCAAGGTCGGTGAAAATTCGATTCAAGGGTCGCGTTCGTTCGTTCGTTCGTCGAGTCCAGGGTGTACCGGTGGGTTTCCCGTAGGTCGGTGGACAACTTGGACATCCAGAGCAGAGGCGTCTATCGACGTGAAATTAACGCGGAGGAGGACGACGAGGAGAAGGAGGAGGAGGACCGGCAAGTGGGGGAAGGGGAGGAGGAAAAAGAATCGACCTTTGGACCTCCGCCACCGCCGTTGTCGCCCCTGCAAAGGTCTCGACGGATCGGCGAGGACGTCGGTGCCGGCGGTGCTACCGGCGCCGGCGTCGGTGCGACCGTCGACTCCGAGCACTCGATGTCCAAGACTCCGCAACCTCTAGCCACCATCAGCATCCAGGACCTGACGAGCATTCAGCTAAGACGAACCACCGTTAAAATGAACGCGACCAAAACGTTCTCCGCGCCGCCTCCTCGCAGCGTGTCTATGACGAACGGTGAGTACTGCACTTTTCATCGTGTCAGGTTGGTCTCGCAGCATATTTTAATAATCTGGCGATATCGAGTTCGACCAGCCAAGTAAAATCGTTTCTATTCGCCAGAGATTTTGTTAATCGTGCGATTCTAGAAACTAGGACAGGGTATAGTTATTTTCTAAACGAAGACGGAAAAAACTTCACAGAGGAGAAGAAAGTTGAATTCCCCGCGCCGGGTCCATCTCTCGATGACATAATTTTTTTTGTTCGATGCAACAGTGTTAGTGCAATACGCATACATTAGAAAAGAGCTACGGATCGTGCCAGTTTCTAGAGTCGCGTTGTTACGTGAAAATAATTTCTGAGTTCATAATTACTCTTTTAATTAAGTTAAACGTTCAGGAATGCCAGTTTTAAACTTTCTTTCGACCATTACTGTACGTCGTAAGCGCATATAAATCAAAAACAATAGTAAAATTTGTGTATTTATGCATTTTATTTGTTGCGATGGTAGTTCGATCGAATCGACTAGGTTCTCGTAGTAAAAATGATGCCGGATCAGATTAGGTTTGACCGATTTTTAGTTAGAGGGGCAATACGCACGAAACGCATACAACGATCGAGTAACAAGTATATCCGACTCGCTTTCACTGTTTTTCTAGTCGTTATTACTGTTTTTTACTCTTGTTACGAATGTATACTGTTGAACGTCGTTTCGGATAACGGGTTTTAAGGCTGATGCACCGTAGTATATCCGTGATATCTTTTATAAACTACAGAAAAGAACGAAACGCAGGATGGAAAGTAGTCCAAATAATTTTTACGATACGATTGTATTTCCTCTCGTCTAGTTTCGGAGCCGTTCTTCGTCCAGAAGACGGACTTGATCGCGGAATTGAAAAGGACCAAGGACATTCCCGGAATAAAGAAACTCAAGGTGGAGATGGCGCAGGTCGAGAAGACGCAGGAGCAGAATCTCATGTCGGAGATCAACAAGGCGTTCAGCGTTTCGAACTTCGTGGACCAGGTAGCCGATAATGTAACACCCGATATCCTTTCCTTATTCTCGATCTTGGTTTCCGTGCAACGCGTTAACGCGACCCCTCGTCGACAGATTCCAGAGAAAGACAGTTCCGGGAATGTGATACCAATATGGAAGCGACAAATGCTGGCTCGGAAGGCTGCCGAGCGAGCGAAGAAGGAGCTGGAGGAGCAAATAGCCAGGGAGAACGAGGAGAGACGACAGAAGGCGATTCCCGCGTGGAAGAGGCAACTCCTCGCCAAAAAGGATCACGAGGAAAAAAGGTGAGAATCTCTCGAACGAATCCGATTAATCGTTATCCGAAACGACAGTTAATTTCCCATTCTCTCTAGACTGAACCCAGTGCTCGGGGCGCCAGTGGTAAAGGTGGAGTCCGCAGGGTCGCTGAAACGTGACGTTTCGCCGACTCCTTCGCGATCGAATCAGCTCGAGGAGAAGCTGGAAATCGAGGAGAAGAAGATCGACACGAGCCTCGGCAATCAAACGAACCACGTGAACGAACTCGACGAGGAGGACGATGCTCAGATCATTCCGTGGCGAGCTCAGCTCAGGAAAACCAACAGCAAACTCAACATCTTGGACTGATCCACCGTATGGATTCGCCCGTGGAAAATTTCGTATTCGCGGGAGAAAGCGACTTCATGCCACTTTCTGTACTCTGGAGAATAAATGCAGCGATCTTGTAAAAGCTGAAGGATCTCAAGATCCTTCGATAACACGTTAGGGTGTCGAGATATCGGATCTAATTCAACGCAAATTGCTAACGAACGATATTTATGCGTTCTGTAACTGGTGTTAAGGGTCTAAACGTTAAAAAGTAAATGAACCTTACGTTCAACGAACTGCGAGCGCTGGCTTACAGCTAATAGATCGCTATCCCGCAGAGAAAACATAGTAGCTGGCATCTGACAGGGGAGTCGCCTAACAGACCACTTAAAACTTAAATAGATCGTTGTATTTATTCTGCCAATTTTAGTCGCTATCAAATAAGGGCTCTTTTACGCGTGCAAACGAGGAGGAATTGTCTCAACACTCGTATGCTCGATTCCTGCGTGAAAGAATCCTTACTCCCGATACAGTGTCCTCTGAAAAAGCTTGTGCCTGGTGTCTGCTTGAGAATGCCCAACTTTGCTACGAAATAAAACTTCGCTTGATCAACAAAAAAATAAGTAGACACCAGGTATTGCTATCTCAAGCGTGAAACTCTGAAGTGGACGCCTTGAAAAAATATATGCTTGTAAGCGAGACGCATCTTTCATCAAAGATGTTCATCAACGAGAATGAAATGCAACATGTACATAAAATCGAGTAAAATTTATATCGTAAATCTCTGAATCGTCTTCTTTGATCAATCTACTTCCTGCTTCGAAAATTCGTAGTCGTCCCTCCCTATTTAGCAACGAATGCCCTCAAGAAGAGAAGAAGAGTGAGTTCAAGAGTTCGAGCCCCCCAGAATCCCCCTTTTGAGTTTCAGGATATTTATAGCAATTATTCTACGTATCTAAGCATGCCCTATGTATCCCGAAAGTTTGAAAATTTTCGTAATCTCCGAGATCCTCCCCTCGTTGGTGTCAAAGGGCAAAGGTTCGGGAGTCGTGGGTCTCAAACGAAAACGCGCGACGATTGTCCCTCCGTTTGAGACCCACGGTCGGGGACCCTCTTGGAAACCATACCCAAACGCCCCGGAACAAAACGTCGATGCACGCTCCATCCTTGCCCTAACGGTTCTCGACGGGCCCTAGGATCGTTCGTTTCCCGCGTTTCACAAAAGCGTCGTTGCTTCGCTCGAAGCGTCGGTTCGTCTCTCGACACGCAGTGACGCGCTCGGTGACGATCGCCACGACGCTGTGACGGCGTCGATGACGGTGGCGTTTGCAGATAACGGCTCGTGACTGTGTGCGTGGGTGCTCGTGGAAAAGGAACACGCGCCACCATTACAGCCGCGGCTGCTAGTAGGAACGGGAATAGTATAATACCAGCACGCGGTGGAGGCGCGTGTTAGAGTAGCTCGGTAGTCCGGCGAGGTAATCGACGCTGTCGTAATCGGGCAGCAGACGTTGGCACTGTAAGCTCACCGAGCAGTTCGAGCGGCAGCTGCCAGCATCGCGCCACGATTCGTAAGCGACGACCACGGGTTCGGAATATTTGGCAACGGGCGCAGAAACCTCGTTCCCCTCGGCTTCTTCCACGCGTCAGTTTCCCGGTTCGTTGTCTACGCGATCGTCCACCCGACGCGCGCGAATTCGCAGCCGGTGAAACCGATTTTCGCGACACGCCAAAAGGATTCCAGAACCACCCCCTAACTTTAATCGGAGGATAAAAGAGTCGAGGATGGCGTCCAACCGGAATATACGAGGTAAGAGCTTGCTTCCGCTTTTGGAAACCACCCCCGTCAGCCCCAGCTTCCGAAACCATTCGAAATTTTGGAGCTCGAACATCTTCAAGACTCGAGACTTTCAAGAGACCTGAGCTTCGAATGTTTTGCAATGTACTGTATACGAATTCAGTTGTCCCTACCCCTTAATCGCCAGTTGTAACGCGTATCGCGCGTCTTTTTCGTGAAACGAGACTTTGCCCAGCTTTGGATTAACCTCGTCGTCACTCGGGGGCCAAGAGTTATTAAAAATGCGAATTATCGGTCCCCAATAGCTCATAGTCCACGCCAGTCATACCAGACTTATTTTTTACTCGTGTCACATACGCATGTTTACTATGTTACGCGGTACACAACATAGTATTGTGATATCACTCAAAATCTGAGCGTATTCGAGCATTTATTTATGACTGTTGTCGCGTGACCTGTTGCCGGGTAGGTCGTTTTTAAGCGGTAAATGTATTATCGAGGTTCTTCTTGTTAGTCTAATGTAAAAATCGTGTAGTCCCGGTCTAATGATTGCAATCATTATTATTAAAGTGTTGGGTAAGTGCAAAGACAACCAATTTTATATACGAATGGAACTTCAAGTTTCTGGTGATCTAAGTCGGTGTATTCAATTATTTCTTCTTATCGATACACTTTAAATATATTTCTGTTAGGAGAATCGGCTTCAACAAAACTTGTACATAATAGTTTATTGCGATATCGCCATTGATAGCGTTAACTATCAGATATATTCAACAGTTTTGAGAAAGCAGAGAGTACGCGGATAAGATAAACACGGATCGATTTTTCATATTGTGTAACAAAAAATACATTTTGATAATACTTCGCGACGCGTTCAATATTTACTCGAAAGGAAAAAATCCATACGAATTCCATTTATTCGTCTATTTAGATAGATATAAAAGTGACCACCGAGCGTTCCGCTCGAAACAAGCGCGACGACGCTCGCCAACGCGTATTAATAGCTGACGGAAACGTTCGCGTCAAGTTCTGGGTGAAGGTCGCCTCAGCGAATTTTTAAAGTCGCCGTAAAACACGTGACACGGATTCCCTGAAACTCCTTTTCCACCGAATCTACAAATTAATACTCGAAATGTAGAAACTAAAATTTACGCCGACTCGAGCCATTTCGCGTTTCGGGGAGCGTCTCGTCTCTGCTTTTGACCGATCCATCCGAGAAATCCGCCAAACGATTAGCCCTTCGCAGGATTTCGTTCCACGATCGTGATTGACTCGAGGTTGCCACTGTCGGAGATAAAAGCTCAAGGTTGAATTATTCGAACGAGGTGACATTATTTTCTCATCGGGATCAGCAGCGCACCCTTTGATTCGATAATTCGTTTGATACGTTCGTGATATGAACAAACGACGCATACACCGTGCTCTAGATATCAAAAGCGGTTAGCTCTCGACTCTCGAATCCATGACCTAATGAAAAGTGTAATCAAGACCCTACGCGGTGGTTCGGTCTCACGGACCGCAAACCTACCGACCGACCAATAGCCACAGTTTCGCTCGAACAAAGCGATCGACCTTTTTTTATCAAATATTTCGTTCGATAATTATCTACGGATTTAAATATCCGGGGAACGAACGGGCCGGGCGATAGATCCCCGCAACGATCTATTCATCTGTCGGGAAATCGTTCCTCCGGAGTGCTACTTGATCTCGTAACATGCCCGGCGCACCGTCACGCGTAAATCGTATGCAACGTAGATCTAATGAAACTTCTTTTAGTAATATCTGCAATTGATTACTCAAGAAATTGACACGTGATTGACCTATTAATCTCGCATTAAGGAAAACAAGCAGTTATCGAATATTGTATACAAATACTTCGGTAGACTCGATTGTAATTAATAGTCGAGATCGTGATTGATAATTGTTGGAGTACAAAAATAGCTATAACTCCGCAACAAGGTTAACTAGTATACATGTTTATACGAACTTCTTTCGCTGTTTTTATCTTCTTAGTCGATCGTCGATACGAGAACCGCGCGTTAGTAATCACCCACTATAATTATCGTGTATCGTTCGGTCCAAAATCGACTCGATTTTTATAAAAATTTTTCATCTGCCGCGCGAAGACTCGAAACTTGAAATTCTGACAATCGTACGAATTTCGTCCGACACTTCGAGGACGTAATTATTCTCTGAACTTAATTTCAAGGAAATGCAAAGGTCTCGTTCGATTCTTTGGGCCCTCGAGATAAGAAATACACACTTTACGCAATAAGTTCACGGGCTTTGAACGCAACGCAGACGATCTCGAGGGAATTAACTCCCAGCGATGTTTCGTCGCGCGGCTGTCGTAATTTCCATAAAGCCTATCTACTCCCACGAGTACCTGCTCGACCTTTCGTACGACCGTGTTACGTCAACGAACGCGTTTCAGTCGTATCGCCTCGTCCAGGGCAAGGTTAGTCTCTCCATTCCGAAGACCATGCTGTCACCCAAACCGGAATTGTCGAAATCACAAATTAATACATCCACTGGCAGTCAAACTTCGTCAAATACTCTACGAGATCAATGTTTTGCTTTTAAATTATACACCGCTCGATATTCCGTTCGATACGCCGAGTTAATCGCAAACGTCGTGTATATCAGCATGACTTTTGTATAACAGAATGACAATACCATTCGATCGTGCCCATCCCTGGACGAAACGGAGACGGCCGCCCACGACTTACGTAAAAATTATTTACAGAACTTGCGCGCGATTGTGCAACCGAGGAAACGTGAAATTAGGATGCACGATTTAGAAATTGAATCACATCGGGTAAAGTGCAACGTCGCGTCGTTACAACGCATCACTGACCTAAGTCGGTGTCGCGAGACACTCTTTAATATGTATGCATTCGGCTAAATGTAAAAATCACGCGCAACAATGTGGTAAACGCATTTAGGGGAATCTCTGTAGCTGCAAAAGTACATTATACAGGTTGGTTGATTGGGATCTGGAACAAGACTCCATTGAATTCCACGACAGAGATATTTCAAATGCAATATGTGGGATATTATTACAGAATAAGTGTGTGAATGGTTTGCATGTGTACGCGAATGAATGGGAACGAGTGATTTATTGAATATCTTCCGCGAACTGAGGTGGAACAAGAGTGATAAGAGCCAGCTAGATTGTGAATGACAAGAGTTTACGGTAGAATGAAACGTAGGGCGTACTTCGTAGACGCGTGTACGGTCTTTGGGTGAGAGATTGATAATGTTATAGTCCACGAAATACTTCGTACTTTGCGTTTGTATTCCAGAACTCAAAGTTCATGCTAAAATTGTATTCGTAATACCAGATTACGTAGCACCGATGACCGCGATTACGGATGTCTGGTAAATAATAGGATTTGTAAACACATTTATAATAAATTTGCGTCTTGAGATTTTGCTGACTAATCGGGTTAGATCAGACTTTCTTAATAGTGCTTGTAAAATGGATTAAAACCGCGTTAAACGAAAGAAATTGTTTACTTAACGGGGGGAGGTTCTGTCTTGATCTATTCAAAATTCTATGATCCTACCTACACAATCGCGATGATATTTATGGACGGTAGTACGAGTCAGAGTTACATTGCAGGAAAGAAGTATAAGATTTCAGCACCGTAAACGATCGTTTACGGCGCCTCCGGTTGTTGCAAGGTAGTCCGCAGAAGACGTAATTATACGTTTCAGGGATCTAATGGTTTAATTTTCCCTCCAGATTGGCTGACGTGCAGGCAAGTGCTGAACATCATGGTCATCCTGGGATTCATGTTGAATTACATGTTACGCGTGAATCTGACGATCGCCATCGTGTCGATGGTGACTCCCAGCAACGACACGTCGCATCCCAGCGGACTGCATCCGTCGAGCGATTGCGACGGTCGAAGCATCGTCGTTGCTTCGCTGGACAATGCTACGACGATCGCCAAACAACCACCTACGACCTCCATCATCCCCGACGCACCGAAACACGTACGCCTTGTCTTTCGTTTTTCGTTACTCGATCCAAGCAATAACGATTCCGTGTTACCGCAGGAAGAGTTGGAGCAAACGAGGTATCCGTGGAACGAGTACGAAGTAAATCTCGCATTGGGGAGCTTCTTCTGGGGCTACATATGCACGGAGCTGCCAGGTGGAAGACTCGCGGAAGTCGTGGGCGCGAAAAGAGTGTTTGGATACAGCATGCTGGTGTCCAGCGCTATAACGTTGTTCACCCCGTTGGCAGCAAGCTACGGTTGCGTAGCAGTCGCTGCTCTGAGGGCCGTTCTTGGATTCATGTTGGTGGGTTTTCAATTTAATTTCTTGCCTAATCTCTGCAAAATTCTGCGTGCTAATCGACGCGATAATCTATCAGGGAGCTACTTGGCCCGCCATTCAACCGATGACCGCTCGATGGATTCCGCCGAACGAGCGCAGCAAGTTTGTCGCCAACATGATGGGTAAATATTGTATAATTAGAAACGGCATAGTTAGGATGCGTTTAGGATGAGTCTATCGAACGAACAAATGCTCGGTGCATGATCACGATAAAATTATCACAAATTGTTTCCAGCTTCGTCGCTCGGTGCTGCAATAACTATGCCAATTTCTGGATTCCTGATCGCCTCGTTGGGATGGGAATACGTATTTTACGTAACTGGAATCATCGGTCTCGCGTGGAGCATAGCCTGGTTTCTTTTGGTATTCGATTCTCCCGCCCAGCATCCCAGAATCTCCATGGACGAACGCCGATACATCGAACAAGCGATCGGCACGACTTCCACGAACAAGGTAAACGGAAAACGACTTCGTTTCTGTTGAAATAAATGTCAAACGATCCGTTTGTCTTTGGTTTCAGCGTCTACCCGTTCCATGGAAATCTATTCTCCTTTCGGCGCCTGTTTGGGCCATCATAATCACTCACGCGTGCAGCGTTTTCGGATATTTCACCGTCGTCAATCAATTGCCCACTTACATGAAGTACATTTTGAACTTCAACATTAAACAGGTTGGTGTTTACGTTTCTCTTACTTTTCAGAACCTTTCAACCACTGCACTCGAGCATACTCGAGTTTTGACAATTCTATAAGATCCTCTACTCGATAATTGTTAGAAAATGATTTTATCTGCTTCATAGCAGCTTTCAAATAGCGTACGTTCTAGATGGCGCCACCAAATTGCATCAAACGGCATTACAGATACCTGTTCGAGCATAGTTTAAAGAGCGTACATAACGTTTGCGAATAAACTCTTCGTTTTAATCAAGTAACGTCAAAGTATTTCACGTTTCAGCTGTCGTAGCATCTTTGAATATTTCGAATCATTGTCTATGCAACATCGAACATATAAAAATGGATGGAGTATTTTCTGAGAGTGAAACGTAGACTCTAGTCTATACCCAGTTTATAATTTCATACGAATCCGTTGATTCCACACAGAATGGACTGTTGTCGTCGTTACCCTACCTCGGTAAATACATCTTCGCCGTGGCCATGTCCTCGTTGGCCGACTATCTGCTCAGGAAGAAGAAGCTGTCGGTAACGGCAATTCGAAAAATTTTCACCACCTTTGGTGAGTAGAAAACACACCGAACGTTGCTCCAACTTTTGCACCGGACGAGTGCCAAGCTTGTTTAAAATTATCTTCGTGTTAATATTTTTGTAGCTTCTGCAAAGTCTCTTTCGCTCGACGCTGTACCATTTTGGTATACGATGATCCTTCGATGTGTGTATTTTTCAGCCGTGATGAGTCCAGGACTGTTGATGATCGTGCAGGCTTATCAGGGATGCGATCGCGTAGCGTCGGTGACGATCTTCACCATCGCTCTGACGATCAATGGCGCCGTGACGGCGGGTTATCTGGGGAACGGTTTGGACATCGCGCCCAATTTCTCGGGAACTATTTTCGGCATGGCGAACACGCTCAGCTCTCTAGGCGGATTCCTAAGCAGCCACATGGTCGGCACGATAACGTACAAGAATCAGAGCTACGCCCAATGGAGCATCATCTTTTGGATCCTGGCGTGCACGTATTGCTTCGGCGCGCTGACGTTCGCGTTCTTCGGCACCGGGGAGTTGCAGAAATGGAACAATCCGTTGGAGAGTGAGAATCAAAAGAGAACGAACGTCGAAAGTGTTTTGGACCACCAAGAATCCGTGCCCTTGAACGGCAAAACTATCTCCTAACGAAACGGTCGCGAACGGTAGATCGAATTTTATTCCGCCGATACCGGAAGTATTCGCGTTCGCCAAACGCTAGGTAAAATCAAAGCTAGACAATTGTAACTGTATTAGAAAATGTTCCTCTTTCCCGTACGCTTACGAAACGGCGTTCGTAATTTATAGACGATCGTTACCTGAACGATGACGTACATTTTTGCTTCTGCGTTGTATTATGAATGGAACAGCGAATACCTAATCTGCGTTCGGTGATGCAAGATGCTCGTTTAGAATAACGATAGTTAGTTGACCGTGGCTCGGTGCCATATCTGGCCACCTATCAAGGGAAGCCTACTTTCTCGAATTCTCGCGTGTTTTCTTTCCCGTCTCGGAACGAGTGGGCAGGGTGAACGAGACACGGACACCTAACGCCAGGTATGCGACGCGAACGTGACTTTTAGGAGCGTCGAGGAATTTGTCTTTCGTCGGTCTGCCAAATTCCCATTGCAGCTTTTATTCGTTTATGGGCAGATAAAACCTTCGATCACAATCGCGACCCGACACGACTCGAACTTCCTTCGCACGCTACCAATAACGTAATTACCATATCCGTAAATCGAGGAAGTAGTTTTCGGAAATTATGTAAACATTGTTCGTCGATGCGGTAACTCGCGTGTTTGTTTATTTTATTCGAACGTATCTTTTCGTCCATGCGTGTTCAAATTAGGTGGCTCGTTCTCTGATCGATAGCGCCACGGCGACCATAATTGCATCTCAGGTCGATGCATTCGCTTACCAACAACCGATAATACGATTAACGAGCAACTTTCTCATCGAGTTATCGCCAAATTTTGATACACTGTGTACCCACGGTATCGCAGCAGCAGCCAGCCCCCCCCCCAGGGGAAAATTATTTCAATTTTACGCGACGTCGCTGTTCGACTGTTCGACAATATGATTTTAGCCATCGCGTATAGCAACGACGAGAAAGAAACGGCGACTGTGGCGAAGGTGAGAGACTGTGCGCGAGATAAGGGACGGTAAAACGAGACAGAAGAGACGCCGACGACCTCAGGACTTAGCGCGTAGAATGCAAAGCAGAGAAAGCACACGGAACGGCGCGGCGCATCCGCGTCGCGATGACCGGCGTAGGGGCGCCGCGCGTTGCGGTGATGTTCGCCGTGACGCGTGGCGCTGCGGCGCTCCACCGACGTGCCAGGAGAACAGACGAACGCGGAGGTGAACGTGTACCGAGAACACGATCTCCATCTTGGTGCTGTTCTCCGTATCGAATCCGCCCGTTTGTTCGTCTCCTCGTGGAAATATTGCCTCGCGTTCGCCGGCGACTCCGCTTACGAGACCGTTTAAAAAACCGACGCGGACAACACCTTCGAAACGTAAGGAAATATCCTGACATCCGGCCCCGACCTTAACGCGATCGATTCTCTTTCGCGAACGCCGACACCACTTAGCGAGAAGTAACGCGTCGTCGCGCGCGGAACGTTTTCCCAACGGCGCGCTTTCCAACGTTTCGTTGTCGAAACATCTGCGTCCGATTTGGAACAGGGTCGCATGAAAGCGTCCGTGCCGAAGCGATGGCGTCCAGCTAAACGTGTTCGGTGGAAAAGGTAGGGAACTGGAGAACTCGTCGCGAATTCGACGCGTCCGAGGGGTTTCGGGCATCGAACAGCGCGGAAAGATAGCCGGTGGATTATCATGCATGTGCATGTTCGCGAAAGAAAGCTTGTAAAGCTGATTAAACCTTAGTTAATCACAGCAAAGCAGGAGAACATCGGGTCGCAAGAGGCTACGCTGCGAGGTACGACCACCTCGTTAACCTGTTTCACTGATAAACGTTTTATCTAGCGGGCGGTCCCGCGCGGCAAACTCTCCTCGAGCTCACCTCCGTTCTCCTTTTGATCTCCGTTCCTCTCCGACATAGCGATTGAAGCCGGTACTACGGTCCGCGAATTCCTCGCGTTTTCAGATAAATTAATCCCGAATCTACCCCTTTTCTGCTGGACCAGCGACGTAAGAAACAGTCGGTAGAAATAAAAATATTTGTACAATAACGTGTAGAAAGGTATGTAGCGTTGTAGGACGAATTTAAATCCCTCGCAAAACACTATTAATGTGTTTTCGCGAAAGAAAATGGTTGCCCGTTGCTGTACCAAACGGATTAACTGTTTTCTCGGTCCAATCTCCTCTTCGATCGGCATTAATACGATACGGGTGGTGGTTGTTGGTTTCTCGACACGGAGTTTCCTTGCGCGTCATGTTTCCTGGATGTCTCGCGCGCATTCAACATCCATCGACGTGGACGCCATTTGTCTCGTCTCGCTTGCTGAATATTTCTCCTTAATTTTATTTAGTTTAATGCTTCGAGAAATTCTCTGGAATATCTAAAAATTTATTTTCTAGACACTCTAGAATTGCGAGGAGGCCAGAGCGATTCAGGTAGAAACTCCGAATATGTTCTTATTGTCCTCGAAATAACTATTTCGGTAATTTCCCTGTATTTTAATGTCATTATGGCTTCGTAATTGCTGTTTGGCGTTCATGCAGCTGCGACTATCTTCCGAATAAGCCAAATAAAGTAATAATGGTTGACGTTACGTTTTGTTTAAGCAACGCAGATTTATGCAACTTTCAGGTCCGTTCATCCCTGTATCAAACGATGAAGTTTAAAATTAAATTTATCTTGAGTCGAACCTCCGTTGATCTTGTCTTCGTTGAAGTTTCCTTTTAGTACATTATAGAGGTATACGAGTAGACCTTACATCCAATGTATACAACAAGTTACACAAATGAGGACAAGAGGAAGTGAGACAGAAAATGAAATTACAAAAACATTCCTGACATAATAAGATTGCTCCGACAAGTGTAAAAACGATCTATTCCCAAAAATGGTGGTCCCTTCCCGGATGTTGGATTTTCCGCGAAGGACCAGGGTCGAGAGATAGGGATCGACGGCGGTCGTGTCGAGGAATTGCGCAATTTATTCAAAGCAATTGGCCCAGTAGTTCCGCGCGGAACGCAGGAACACGGGGGAGAGCGGTCCACGGGCGATTATTAAGGATTCTCGTAATAACGCGCTGGAGAATGGCCGGTTGCACGCACCGATCTCGAGGGACGCCGATGCCCTCGAGTAGCCAAAGAACAACTTTCAGCGCAGCGAACCGCTGCCCTGACCGCCCCCGACTCATGGGAACATCCCCGGGGCGATACGGGCCAACGTTCAACTCCTCTTTTCTGCTCCCATCGTCTCAGCTCCCACTCTCTCCCCCTCTCTGATCTCGATTTCGAAATGGAATCGTGCGTAACCCGAACTTCGGGCCAATCTACCGGCCAGTAATTTCGGAAGAATGCGACCGGCGATTCCGGGATACTCGGGTAGAAATCGTGCGAGCTTTAACGACGAGCAAACGAGGGTAAACGCTAGTCGCGCACCGACCGCTTTCTGTTGCACGACACCTTTCTTCGCGAGGCTGCTGAACATAGACACAGGTAGGAACGCGAGGGGGAGGAAGGAGTAAGCGTAGAAGCAGAAGCAGAAGCCGCGGGCGGAGGAAGATATGCAAAAAAGGCGAAGCGTAGAAACGGATCTTGAGAAGACGATCTCAGGAACAAAGGGAGGAAAGAGAATGAGGAGCAAAGAGGCGGTAGCGTAGTCGGTGGTGGAGATGGAGCCGGGGTTCGGGTTCGGGTTCGGGTTTCAGGGGTCAGGGCCGGGGACGGGGTGGGGGCAGAGACACGAAGAGGAAAGAGAAAAAGGCCGAAGATGAGCGGCACGTATGCTAGGTATGCGGGTGAGAAACACCCGGGGCGACTGGCCGCCGCGGCGATCCGCCCACGTTTATGCCGCACACTCTTCCGCCCCGGACTCGCCCCATGGCTCTCGAGAGCGTGGTAAACCGACTGCCGATGCTGCTGTTGCTGTTGCTGCTTCGACAACTTCCACGGAATCGCCACGGTTTAAGAACCACGCGAGCCACCCGGGTTCGTCTCCGTGCTCGGCACGCGATTCGGGGAACTCGAAAAGAGAATCGAACGAACGCCCCCGCGGGCACACGCCGCCGTCACGCGAGCCCTTTTTTCTCCCAACAGCGGAGAAGACAGAAGCGAACTCGAGCAACCAGCTTTCGTTTCGAAACTCTGGATTTTATTTCTACGAATTTGATATTTTCGTAAAGATTTTTCTTCGTCGAATCAACGCGCACTCGACCGCTACCGCGGTAAATTAATGACGCTAATACCGAGAGTGCAAGGCAGGAAAAGTAATAGCAGGGTAACGACGGAGTAATGAGTCCGCTGTAATTAAGCGCGGTAATTGCAATATTATTGAACGCGCAGGGGCTACCCGTAGGGTCAAAGGCAGGCGTTGAACACACGGTTTAACCTTTTTGTTATTCTCTTATTACGCGAATATTATGTTTTCTACGCGTCTTACGAATAACAACGAGCCACCGAAACGGCTATTCTTCGCGCGGGCATAATCATAAAAATACCGAGCAACGATGAGTTCGCGGAAGGTGTTTGCCACGCGCAGGTGCGCGGCCCATAGACGCATCGATGCATCCGAAGTCTTAATTAGTTTCGGGATGCGTTCGCGCGATAAATTTCGCGTTTTTTTGCTGGTAGCGAATCGGAAACGGTAGGCGCTTTAAAATTGTGCACGGTGACCGGGCAGGTGATGGCCGCGCGAAGAGCTAGTCAGGTGTTTGCCGCGTCGTTGAAAGCGCGCGTACCCGACCCTGTAACGGGTGTCCCTAATTCCGACGAATTAACGATATCGATGCGTTTACGCGTGCTCGCGATCGCGATGAAAATCACGTGACTTGACGAACATGACTACGAACTGATAAAAAAAATTGCAAAAATTTTTTACAAAGAGGCCCGAGTGATCTCGTTCGAGTCGTACGAGTCAATTTTCGAAGGATTAAATTGCGCAAGGCGTAGGAAAGCTGCGCGAGATCGAGCGTTTCTTTTCGTAGGATCATTTGTCGATGGTCGTCCAGGGGAAGTGGTCTCAATTCGCAACCATTAACGTCGTTATCGGCGGTTCGATCTCGGTGAAGGGGCTGCTCCTCGCGTCAGGTGCAAATTTCGATAGAGGCTGAGCAACCGGCGTTCGAACGAGGAAATTTCAAAGACAAGCGTCCGCGACAGGTGGACGAGAGAACGTACTCCGCGTTCCAGGCGTCCCGACCCCGAAACCGGAAGTTGCTCGAGCACGCGAGCATCGCTTAGCTTGTCCACCGGCACGCGTCGTCTCCCCGTGAAATTGCTACGAATGCTAATTCATTACGAAGTTGGTTAATGCTTCCGTTTTAAGAAATCCCGCTTCCCTCGGTCGGATCGAACGTTTCGCTGCGAACGAACGTGGAACACGTTCCGTTCTCGAATCCGGGTCATCTTTCGTTTACTGTTATTTCAAATACGCCCAAGAGTATTCTCGAGAAAAATGAAAGACCAACGGGGGTTGTTGTATCCACCAACTGTCTCGTAGGTGGAAATTCTTTTTTTCAGGGGGGATGGGGCTTATCGAAGAGTTTAGAGACGACTGATTCGGACGCGTTCCAGGCAGGTTGCATCGATACGCGAAAGAATCTCGCTGGAATCTCGCAGTCACGCTGGCGCCAACGTGCTGGTAACTTTATATCGATTCTGTCGACTCGTGCAGCGGAGTCTCTGTCGGGGATATTCGGCTGGGCCGGTTAGTCAAGTACCAGAACGAGTAGAGCACCGATGTATTTATACGACGCGCGAGAGGTATACATCTGTTTCCATCCGGGCACGTGTCCGGCACAGAATTAGAACGTTCCGAGGAAGCCGGGAAAAGGAGACGAAACCGGCCAAATCGAGCGTAGAGGGAACGTGGAACGCATCTTGATTTCGTCGATGCACCAACCTTCGCGTTTTCCCTCCGATTTTACCGATTTTCACGATCCCAAATGACGAGCAGACTTTGGGTGAAATTCGGCGGTGGAAGTGCCAGGTTTCCGCCATAAGTTTGCCAAGTTTGGAGTTTTATTCGGTATGGTTAGCGGCTGCGCCGTGTCGCCGAACACGTGCGCTCGCTGGGCCCATTTTGGTGAACCCGTTACGGTCGCAAAGGGACCGTCCAAGATGCCGCGTTCGTCGTTCCAAGTTTACGACCTATTGTCAATTAAAAGACACTCGTAAACCTGGTCGATTCGGTAAAGTCCAACAAAAATATTCGACTCACGGTAGTAAATGGCCTGCGAGTTTTACTTAAGGCCCATTGGGGACCTTGCCTATGCAGAATTTGTTTAATTCTATTATGTTAAATGTTACTATCGCTTCTGTCAACTTCGATGAATTGTAATTAAACAGATATCGAGTCTTGTGTAAGCAATAGGCGACAAATCGCTGGAAGACATGCTTTAATATGGCTCGATAACGAAGTGAACTAGTTTACACCGGCCGTTTGATAAGCGTACTCGAGTACCTGATTCGTATCAAACGCTCGGTATAAACGATGCCTTATCAAATTGGTCCGACGCGTCTGAAGAAGGCGTATCGAACGAAAATAATACGAGTGCTTAACGTCTTAGCTGTACACACTCGTGTATTTTAAAATTAAGTGGAGCAATGTTAGGTTTGCAATCTCGTAACAGTCGTACTCGATGTACACGGCATCTACGATAATGTTGTGCGATTCGAGTTGGAAATTTGTTGAAAAGTGCAATTCGTAGTCGACCGAAAACTGATCAACTTCTGTTCGAAAACCGTGACGACAGTCGCGTGCCACACCCTGAATTTTTCTAATCTCCATGTTGGCGGTCGTTCCATATGAAAATACAAAATAAAAAAAAATTTGTTGAACCTAAAAATTGCAATCACGCCGGAAAGTGAACGATAGTAAGATATTTTTACTATAAAAATCTTATCGTACGTTCGAACAGCGCTCGCTGTTCCAGGAATGGCCAGCGAAGGTGATAATAATAGCTTTAGATTTTGCTCCGGTATCTCATCGTGATCGTAGACGATAGTGCTTCAGATCGGTAAATGAGCCTGTATCTACATCTAAAATCTCTGTGTACGCGACGATTGCCTCTCTCTCTCGGAGTGGCTAATTCTTTGTTTCGCTCGGGTGAGCAGGTCTATCACCAGGTGTTTCGCGGGTGGAATAGAAATGGACCGAGTATCGCGGGTTACGCGCGGTTGCACGCGCTCGTGCCCTCGTGTCCAAGCATGCTCGAACGAGATTCAATGGGCGAGCAAAAGCCTCGATCTTCTTTCGAATCCGAAACACGCTTCGCGTCTCAACGCACCGACGCATTCCTCCTCCACCCGGAGACGGACGATTCTTTATTCCGAACGGATCGTGACAATGAACACCGTGTAAAGGGAGGGTGCATTAGGGTTCCTTCATTGTAAACACTATTGAAACGCGACCACCGTGGCAGTCGACGTTTTAACCTGTTTGCCCTCGGTCGATGAAACGATACCAAAATGGCGTCGTGTAAAGGTTAAAGGTTAAAGAGAATCGGAAAACGGAAGCGGAGGATCGGTAGAGCTTCACGAGCGATTCCAAGCCATCGTCGGATTACACGTACGCGACAGCTTTTAAATGTGCATGTGGCGCCAGATGTCGCGCCTCGTAATCTTTAGACCAAACTTTGCCCT